ATAACAAACATATATGTTTAGATGTGTTACATATTGTGTTATAAGATATCATATTTTGTTATAATATAATTTATGTTGTATTATAAATAAGTTGGTCACTTGTATGACATATGTTGATGTCGTCAAATTAGCACCATAATACTTGAAAAACAAATACTGCTCATGTGCTGGCAATGCCAAATCAACACCCTAATTTAACTGGTTCAATATATGTTATACTGATAACAAACATATATGTTTAGATTTATTACAAATTGTGTTATAAGATATCATATTTTATTATAATACAATATATATTTTATTATAAATATGTTGGTCACTTGTATGACATATGTTGATGTCGCCAAATTAGTATCACAATACTTGGAAAAAAAAATACTGCTCCTCTGCTGGCAAGGCCAAATCAACACCCTAATTTAATTGGTTGAATATATGTTATATTGATGACAAACATATATATTTAGATATATTACATATTGCGTTATAAGATATAATATTATGTTATAATATAATATATATGTTTTATTATAAATATGTCGGTCATTTGTATGACATATATTGATGTCGTCAAATTAGCACCATAATACTTGAAAAACAAGTACTGCTCCTGTACTGCTAAGGCCAAATCAACACCCTAATTTAAGTTGTTCAATATATGTTATATTGATGACAAACATATATATTTAGATATATTACATATTGCGTTATAAGATATAATATTATGTTATAATATAATATATGTTTTATTATAAATATGTCGGTCATTTGTATGACATATGTTGATGTCGTTAAATTAGCACCATAATACTCTAAAAACAAATACTGCTCTTGTGCTGACAAGGCCAAATCAACACCCTAATTTAACTGGCTCAATATATGTCATATTGATGACAAATATATATATATTTAGATGTATTACATATTGTGTTATAAGATATCATATTATGTTATAATATAGTAAATGTCGTATTGTAAATATGTTGGTCACTTGTATGATATATGTTGATGTCGTCAAATTACCACCATAATATTTGAAAAACAAATACTGCTTCTGTGCTAGCAAGGCCAAATCAATACCCTAATTTAACTTGTTCAATATATGTTATACTGATAACAAACATATATGTTTAGATGTATTACATAATGTGTTATAAGATATGATATTTCGTTATAATATAATTTATGTTATATTATAAATAAGTTAGTCAGTTCTATGACATATGTTGATATCGTCAAATTAGCACCATAATACTTGAAAAACAGATACTGCTCCTGTGCTGGCAAGCCAAATCAACACCCTAATTTAACTGGTTCAATATATGTTATACTGATAACAAACATATATTGTGTTATAAGATATCATATTATGTTATAATATAATATATGTTGTATTATAAATATGTTGGTCACTTGTACGATATATGTTGATGTCGTCAAATTACCACCATAATATTTGAAAAACAAATACTGCTTCTGTGCTGCCAAGGCCAAATCAACACCCTAATTTAACTGGTTCAATATATGTTATACTGAAAACAAAAATATATGTTTAGATGTATTACATATTGTGTTATAAGATATTATATTTTGTTATAATATAGTTTATGTTATATTATAAATAAGTTAGTCACTTGTATGACATATATTGATATCGTCAAATTAGCACCATAATACTTGAAAAACAGATATTGCTCCTGTGCTGGCAAGGCCAAATCAACACCCTAACTTAACTGGTTCAATATATGTTATACTAATAATAAACATATATGTTTAGATTTATTACAAATTGTGTTATAAGATATTATATTTTGTTATAATATAATATATATTATATTATAAATATGTTAGTCACTTGTATGACATATGTTGATGTCACCAAATTAACATAATAATACTTAAAAAATAAATACTGCTCCTGTGCTGGCACGGCCAAATCAACACCCTAATTTAACTGGATCAGTATATGTTATACTGATGACAAACATATATATTTAGATATATTACGTATTGCATTATAAGATATCATATTATGTTATAATATAATAAATGTTTTATTATAAATATGTTGGTTATTTGTATGACATATGTTGATGTCGTCAAATTAGCACCATAATACTTGAAAAACAAATACTGCTCCTGTGCTGGCAAGGCCAAATCAACACGCTAATTTAACTGGCTCAATATATGTTATATTGATGACAAACATATATATTTATATGTTTTAAATATTTTGTTATAAGATATCATATTTTGTTATAATATAATTTATGTTGTATTATAAATAACTTGGTCAATTGTATGACATATGTTGATGTCGTCAAATTAGCACCATAATACTTGAAAAACAGATACTGCTCCTGTGCTGGCAAGGCTAAATCAACACCCTAATTTAACTGTTCAATATATGTTATAACGAAAATATATGTTTAGATTTATTACAAATTTTGTTATAAGATATCATATTTTGTTATAATATAATATATATTATATTATAAATATGCTGGTCACTTGTATGACATATGTTAATGTCGTCGAATTAGCACCATAATACTTGTAAAACAAATACAGCTCGTGTGCTGGCATGGCCAAATCAACACCTTAATTTAACTGGTTCAATATATGTTATACTGATGACAAACATATATATTTAGATGTATTACAAATTGTGTTATAAGATATCATATTATGTTGTAATATAATTATATATTGTATTATAAATATGTTGGTCACTTGTATAACATATGTTGATATCGTCAAATTAGCACTATAACACTTGAAAAACAAATACTGCTCCTGTGCCGGCAAGGCCAAATCAACACCCTAATTTAACTGGTTCAATATGTGTTATACTGATGATTAGCATATATATTTTGATGTATTACATATTGTGTTATAAGATATCATATTTTGTTATAATATAATTTATGTTGTACTATAAATAAGTTGGTCACTTGTATGACATATGTTGATGTCGTCAAATTAGCACCATAATACTTGAAAAACAGATATTGCTCCTATGCTGGCAAGGCCAAATCAACAACCTAATTTAAATGGTTCAATATATGTTATACTGATAACAAACATATATGTTTAGATTTATTACAAATTATATTATCAGATATCATATTTTGTTATAATATAATATATATTATATTATAAATATGTTGGTCACTTGTATGACATATGTTGATGTCGTCAAATTAGCACCATAATACTTGAAGCAAGGCCAAATCAACATCCTAATTTAACTGATTCAATATATGTTATACCTATTACAAACATATATATTTAGATGTATTAAATATTGTGTTATATGATATCATATTATGTTATAATATAATTTATGTTGTATTATAAATATGTTGGTCACTTGTATGACATATGTTGATATCATCAAATTAGCACCATAATTATTGAAAAATAAATACTGCTCATGTACTGACAAGGCCAAATCAACACTCTAATTTAACTGGTTCAATATATGTTATACTAATGACAAACATATATATTTAGATGTATTACATATTTTGTTATAATATAATATGTGTTGTATTATAAATATGTTGGTTACTTGTATGACATATGTTGATGTCGCCAAATTAGCACAATAATACTTGAAAAACAAATACTGCTCATGTGCTGACAAGGCCAAATCAATACCCTAATTTAACTTGTTCAATATATGTTATACTGATGACAAACATATATATTTAAATGTATTACATATTTTGTTATAAGATATCATATTATGTTATAATATAATATATGTTTTATTATAAATATGTTGGTCACTTGTATGACATATGTTGATGTGGTCAAATTAGCACCATAATGCTTGAAAAATAAATACTGCTCTTGTGCTGACAAGGCCAAATCAATACTCTAATTTAACTGGTTCAATATATGTTATAACGATGACAAACATATATATTTAGATGTATTTTATATTATGGTATAAGATATCATATTATGTTATAATATAATATATGTTGTATTATAAATACGTTGGTCACTTGTATAACATATGTTGATATCGTCAAATTAGCACCATAATACTTGAAAAACAAATATTGCTCCTGTATTGACATGGTCAAATCAACACCCTAATTTAACTGGTTCAATATATGTTATACTGATGACAAACATATATTTAAATGTATTACATATTGTGTTATAATATAATATATGTTGTATTATAAATATGTTGATCACTTGTATGACATATGTTGATGTCGTCAAATCGGCATCATAATGATTTAGGTTGTGTGGGATGGACTCGTAACTCTGGGTCATGGGTTAAAACCCAACATCTTCAGGTGAGTTGATCTATGCCCCACCAATCATAATATTAAATAATGACCCGTAAGGGATTGACTGGTATTATGGAAAATGAGCATGTGACCATGAAATCATAAGTTTAAAACCTGATGTCTCCAAGTTCACTTGTCACATATGGTTCGCCTAGTGTTACTTATTTTATAGTACGTAATTTGCAGTGTATTAGGTCTGGTCATGTCCGGTAAGGGATAGCATGGTGGTATTAACTTTCTTGGCTTATAAAGGTGAAGGCTCACTCCACCTAAAATTATGGAAGACTGTGAATATGTCCCACAGAACTTTCTTGGCTTATAAATGTGACACTCCGTTTAAAACCAATTGATTTTAGACTAGAAGTTTGTATCTTTTCTTAACACGCACTCTATCAAAAAAGAAAGGGAAAAAAAAAAATCAATCTCTTACTTTTTTATTTTAATATATATATATATATATATAAAAGTACAAGCATAAAAATATACAAAAGTAAACAAATTCAATAATATCTATAAAGGTAAAACTCAAAATCCCTGTTGCAATATTTACTTTACTTGTATGTTTGTTTATATTTTTGCAGTACTTAATTTGCTAACATATTTCTAATTTACTTCCCGAAAATAACACATCCAATAAATCCAAAACACAAGTAAACATCGCCATCAACCAAAAAAAGAAAATACCCAAAGTAAACATAAACCAAAAAACTCTATTGACTCTATTGGAAATTTTATTTTTAAGACAAAATATCACATTAAATACATAAGCAGAGCTACATCCCAAGCGAATTATAAAAGTGAAACAACCATTGCGAAGAAACGTTTGGGAACTATCTTTAACCTTTTACCATTCAAGAATAATGCAAAGTAAAGTAATCGAATCCTCCCTCGGCACATGAAGAAAATACATCAAAATTCTACAAATTATATATCCGGAACTGCACCAAAACTTAAGATATTGTATGTCAGTTGCAAAAGTTCACTTGGTTCCAATCAAATCTCCCTCGGCATAGAGAGAAATAAGGTAAGCAAGATGTTGAGGGCAATGGAAACAATTTCCATTGTTTCAACAAACAATTGATTGATTAATCATCAGGCTCTCGGCTTTGGGGCAAGGCCAGTCTCGACTTTCTTGATCTCAAAGATAAGCATTCTCCACATCTTAAGCACAAACATCTCAGCTTCATCGTCTAGAATAGATTGGAGCCTCTCAAGCATTTCGCCGGCATCAACATGTTCTTGTGTGCTCGATACAATGTATTCCACAAGTGTAACCTCCTCCTCTCCCAAATAGTCCGTAATCTTCTTTGATATCCAAGGTCTAAGTCTCTCATGCAATGCATTCTGCCAAAAAAAAAAAAAAAAAAAAAAAAAAAAGAAGCTAAGTGTACTGCTGGTATTGGAAAATTAATGTGCCATAAGAATTAAATACAATGAAAAACTACTAAAAAATCTGCATGTCCAGCATCCCGATATTGTATATAACATTTTCGGAGACAACATATGAATGTAGTCTGTTATGAAAGTGTTTTTTGATGGCCCGGAAAATTGTCAAAAACATGTGATGTGCCGTAATCTAGTAGCCATCTGATAACATGATTATAGTAATTCATATTTCCATCCCACACTGTACCAGGTAAAATTATATTTAAAAAATGGAACAATAAATGAGATGAGAATCTCAAGGATCCAAAAGATACTCAATATACCAAACATCAAGAAAGTGCATGCCATATTATACAGTATACACATCATCATATATACCCTCACCCCACTCACGAGTAGGTAGATAGGTCATATGAATCACATGTCACCATTGTATAGATCAAGACAAAATTTTCTTCAAAAAGTATATATGTAGCATCTTTCCTACACAACTTTTGTCTTCCCCTTCTAATATGAGTTGATAGTTGCTATGTTCTATACATTGTTCCTAGATCACCTGGAGGCCTCCTAACCCAACTATGGCTATTTGTTATAATTGTCACTATATGATATGGAAATTTAAGACACGTTAAGCCAGGTGTTGAGAGCTGGGAGATGAACATAGAGCAAATCCTAGCAATAGTAAACAATAAGTATAATAGCAATTAAATAGTGTGAACATAAATGTGATGTTTATTGATAATACTATCTTAAATTTAAATGAGATTAATAAGTACTAGTTGGCTCAAATCACCTTCAGAATGTACATATCTTAAATGCAGTGATTGCAAGTAAATCTGGAACAATTGACCAACAAAACCAGATATTCCTTATACAGGTAAAATTAGCTAATCTAAGTAACCTCAGATTTATTTATCATCAAATAACTCATAGAAATGTAAAAAACCAGACGATAGCAACTATATTCACAACATAAGATTAAGTGAAAAGGCCACAAGAAAGGAATTAGAAAGGCATGAGCAATAATAGTTACCTGATCGTAGATTGACCAATTTATCTCATACGAAAACAACTCATCTCTGGTCTTTGGAATTGTGTCAATCAACTGCTTAGCATCCAAAAGCTTTGGGTTTTCTGGTGCCTTCATTTTGTTTGACCTTTCTCTCTCTGAATAATCCCTTCTGCTCTCTCCGCGTGTGCTATAAGTCTCTTCTTCATGTTTATCACGATCTCGCTGGCCCGATCTCTCATGAGAACGCCTGTTTTTCTCTTTCTCCACATCAGACCTATCTTCTTTAGCATTCACTGTTGAAATACGCTTGGCAAATTCTGCTGCAGCAACCATATTGGCAGATGAACCTTCAAACATAGAAGTTTGAACCGACTGCTGTTCCTCAGTTGAGTAATCAATCGGAACAAGAGGCCTCATCTTTTTCTCCTTTTGTGCATCCTCATCTTCATCTTCATTAAAAACAGAAGGGACTGCAGCTCGCTTTCCAGACCCGGAAAGACCAAACCCCAATTTCCTAGTGGGCATATTGCTATTTTGCCGTGAATCTGACACTGAATTGGATGGTACAACAGCTTCATCATTAATTCCATTCCGTAAAGCCCCTTCACCTGATAGTAGCCAGAGAATTATTTAAGGAGAAATAAATAAAACAAGATCATAAATTGCGCAGGAAGATTTACCTTCATAGGTCCCATGGTTTGGTTTGTGATTTAAAGTCAGATCAGCTGTGTCCTGGTTTTCAGCATTGGTTTCATTTGGCGAAACGTTATCCTGTCCATTAGCAGGTGGACTCATCGAAGATTTGAGTGCCTCAAGTTCTTTCTTCCTTTGCTCTTCCTCAGCAGCCTTTATTTTAGCTTCTTCAATCTCTTCCTCTTCTCTCAATCTGTCTGCCAGGTCCTCTTCCTTCTCCCTTTGTCTCCTTTTCCTCTCTTCATCACTAGTCTTGTATTTCCTCTTTTTTCCATAGCCGTCTTCATCATCACGCTCTTGGTCCATAATTTCCCACTTCCTTTCTTGAGCCTTCTCTTTCTCCCTTTCACGCTCTCTCTTTCGCCAATGCTCTCTCTCTCTTTCCCGAGCCTCCCACTCTTTTTCTCGTGCCTTGAACCGGCGCTCATCTTCCCGACTCCTATACTCTCTCTCCTTCTCCCTCTTAGCACGTTCTTGCTCCCGTTCTCTCTCATATCTTTCAAGTTCCCTTTCCTTTTCTCGTCTCTGATCCCGGTCACGGTCTCTGCCCCTGTCATGCCTTCTACTCCGATCAGGTGAACCTGATTCCAGCTTGTCGTGCTCACTTGCAGGTTTACTTTCAGCAGTCTTCTCGTCTTCAATTCTCTCGTCCGAATCTTTAATGATAATAAAAATAATAATAAATTAGAGAGTGAGAGAGAAGGAAAGAAAAAGGAGACCAGATATTAGTGTTCAGCAGACGCAAAAACAACTCTTTGAGATAATTATGTTTAATATAATATTCACCATTTTTTCTGTCATCTTCCTCCGATTCCTTTTCCCTTGAAGCAGAATGCTGTTCTGATGTTGAGTTATCAGGCTCCTCAGCAGGTCTTTGAGGGGGTGGAGGTGGCAGTGGTTTGTTCCTCAACCTCTCTTCTATCATTTCAGTAATCTTATCAAGAGCTTGAGAGTCTGTTCCTTTGTCTTCATCAGTTACAAGGCCAAAATTATTAGCATCGGGGTTTTCAGTATTCAGTTCATTTTCATCCTGTTTCTTTTCATCTGAAGAAGGCTTCGAATTTTCATCAGAGGGCTTTGATGTTTCATTGTTAGCACCTGATGCATTATCTTCCTCTTTCTGAGAACTTTCAGAAGTTGATTCTTTGATGTTCTTAGAACTCTCAACTTTTTTCTTCACGTAACGTTTGAGATATTCTCGAGCTGCTTGATTAACATTCAACTGCAGATTCATTGGGTCCATTAGTACAGAACAAAGGAAAAGGCACATTTCAAAAAAGATAATAAAAATAAAAATAAAATCATGTAGTCAGACAATGCATCCAAAGGACTTCAATAGCAATGTGGCAATAAAACTGCGGAAGGAATTAAACATAAAACATATGACGGAAACAACTAGGAGATGTAGGAAACATATATAACATAGAAATAGAAGAGAAAAAAAGTGAATTCATACCATTAATTATTATCCATTTAGCACAACGAAAATGCTTAATGCAAATTAAACATAAGATGGCGAAACTTAGAAAATCTTTAGGGCATATATATAGCGAAGAACAGAAATGAAAATGAATTCATACCATTAATTCCTGTCCATCTATCCTAAGTTTGTTAAGTAGTCGCAGGGCCCGAAGAACTCCTTCAGCAGATTCGAATTCGCAAAATCCAAAACCCTTCAAAGTTCCTGTGGGATCTTGAGGACGTTTCCAATTCTTCACTGGCCCACAAAGCTTCAAAAAATGACAGATGGACTTAATTAATTATTAACTTTGAACTTGTTTTAACAAACTAAGTGCCACGTGGAAGATAACATTGGAATTTCCAAGAAACAAGAAAAGAAGAGCATAAGACAAAAATTAAATGCAAGGTAAACAAATCTCATACTTTCAGTAGAGACAGCATGAAATCATTCTCCACCGATGATGGTATCTTCCCAACATACACAGTTGTCTGTGGTGTCTCTGCAGATGTAACGGTTGGAACAGAAGGAGGCCTAACGACAGCAGGCATAAGTGGACCCCGAATTCCGACAAGTGGCGGGCGTGTCATTGATGGCATTACACCAACCACTGGTCGTGGTGGAAATCCCGGTCGAATCATTGGCGCAAAAGGAGAAGGATATCGAAGAACACCTGCATAAAGGGGCCACAAACATCTATGCAAATTGTCAAAAACCATGCTAAGAAAATTAGTTATCAATCTTCAAAATAGCTGGAAACAGGCATAAATGAAATTATCAAGATAAATCAACTGTTGTTACCAACAATATCACAAGCAATAAGAGATTGCAGCACAGGCAAGACAACACTCACCAGCTGAACATATAACCTGAAGGAACATCAACAGAATAGAATTGGGATTCATGAATAAGGAATGCGTAAACAGGGCATACCTTATTTATCCACTTGCAAAACAGAAGGCATCTCAAAACAATCGAATTCCAGGTACCACATGAGAAGGTTTAATTTGAAATGGAGAACCAAATTCCAACTCAGACCACCGCAATTGCAGATATCAAACTAGAACCTAATTGTCTATAATCTTATTACCATAATAAGTCTCACGAGCATCATGATATAAAAAAACAAAAACAAAGTAGCTAAATCCAAATTGCATGTTGAGAAGATTGAGATACCTTGAATGACAGAGGCATAGCTGCACTCAACTGTTACCATAGTCTGCTGGTGGCAATTCAAATATTAAAATCCCAAAAAAGGGCTCTCTATTCTTGTCACCATAATAATAGTCTATCCATGAAATAATAAAACCAGAAATAATTGATTACAAAGTGGTTAAATCTTATTTTCAGCCTAAAGTGTGAATTTTTCCGAGACGCAATTATATTTGTCCCCTAATTTCTAATGCACCACTCCTAAATTATTACAATTATACTTTCCCAATTAATAGATATGTATTGAAATCAAAGAAACCAAGCAAATGAATTGTGCTCATACCAATAAAAAGGAGTTGAAGTGTGAGGGGCACTCAGTAGTCTCTAATGTATTGAAGCCTTCCAACCTTTCCCAACGTAATCAATCATGAGTACACTGTAGAGAAAACATCCTGTCATCGATACCCCTAATCCAACCAACACATCCTCTCCACAACCCCTTCTCTCACACTCAATTCCCCCTTTTACTAACACAGCAAGACATACAACATCCTAGGCAAGGAGCTCAGTAAAAGAATCGGTGAAGGCGGATGTTTTGCATATAATGTTCAAGACTCTTAAGAAAGTCTGAGATCATATCAACTCAGTAACTTATCCTACAAAACTTATAACATCACAAGTACCAAATCACAGTAACTACATACACCCAAATTTCAATTCTCAATTAAGTGAACAACCACCGTGTGACTAAATCAAATTTAAAATTATGCAAAAAAAAATAAAATGAAACCCTATCTAAGTTGGAAGGAGGAAACCCACCCGGTGGAGGCATTGCACCTTGGGGAATACCCGGAGGCATAGCAAGATAGCCATTTGGCATCGGATGGGCAAATCTCATAGGCTGACCAGCTACGGCATATGGCGGCCCCATCACAGGATGCACGGGGGCCGCAGAAACCTGCGGCGATGGGCCACTCCCAACCGCCGGAGCAGAAGCCACCACTCCCGGAGGAGGCACCCCAGGAGGCTGGAACGCAACAGGCGAGAATTGCGCCGGGGTACCTGACGAGGGCAACGGAACAGGCGGCGCAGCTGGCCGGAAAGAAAGCGGGACAGTGAGCGGAGGAGGGGTTACAACCGACGGCGGCTGAGGCGCGCCGGGATTAGGGTTGGGTAATTTGGGGTTTGCTGCGGAAGATGGATCTGATTGGGCGAGGCGGGCATCGGGTTCCGGCGGATGTGAAGCAGGTTTGGCATCAGCTGCGGCAGCTGTTTCCGGCGCGGTGGCTGAATCCGCCATTGATAACTATAAACACCTCCGACTTTCCACTTCCCGGCGGCTTACTTATCGATTGGAGCGGTGACAACTGATTTCTTGGGGAAATTGAAGCAGTTTTTGGGTGTGTTGTTGGATATCATGCAATCAATCTCAATCAAGTCGCCGTGGCGATTCGTTGAGTTGCTGAAGGTTCTGCCTTTCGAGATGGTAATTGCTGAAACCCTAACACCTCGTTGCGATTTATGGAAAATTTATGGGCGTGTTTGGTGAGCAAAATATGTTTTTTAATAATCCCTCCGCCCGAACAAATGACATATTTGAATATGTGACAGGATATCGAGTTGGTGAATTAATTAATTATTAATATTGAATTATAGTACTTTCTGTGCAAATTTATTCTTACTTTTAACTCCATTATTAAATAAATTAAATTTATTAAAAATTATAAATATAATAAATTAATCTTTAATTAATATAATATACATATTTATAAAAATTTTATTATTTTATATTTTACATTATTTTTAATAAAAAAATTTATTTATATTTTTCAATAAAAATATATTATTTTTTAAATTTAACTCTAATAGAAATAAATATTATTTTATAACACTTTACCATTTTCAATAACTAATAATAATAAATTTCAAATATTCTAAATTCAAAAGAACACAAATAAATATATCTAAAAATAAAATAAAATAAAAATGTCCTGAATTGTCATTTTACGTATAAATAACTAACATTTTTATCTGCTAATAGCTATCAGCTAATTATCAAAGACCTCGTAATCTTTTATAGGCATTTTATTTATAGTCATTTAAATTTATGTTTAATTATTTTTAAATTGTTATAAAAATATATATATTATGTCTTGTATTCATTTATTTATTATATCAAAATGTATTATAAATTAAGAGAAAATAACAAAATTATTTTGTATTAGTGTCTTGTACTATTAATATAATAATATTTGTACAAAATAATTATACAAATATAAAGATATTTTAAATGTTAAGTACAATGAGCAAATAATAAATGAATACATTGTTATAGGACGGAGGAAATATATTTTTTTCTTATTATTTTTTACTATAAAAAAAATTAATAATCATTACATATTTTTATTAAAATTAGTACACAAATACTTGGAACACATAATTGAATAATATAAATATTTTTTATATGAATTATATTGTAGGTATTTTTAAAATAAAAATTAATATTCTTTTCGTCTATTTACAAAATATACGTATTTATATTTTTTATTGTCAAATTACAAAATAATTATTTTAAAAATATCTCACTCATTCTTTCTCACATCATTACTTTTATACTAAAAGTAAATATAAAATTATATTTATATTATTTTTAACTATCAACTACGGTCATATTATTGTTCAAATGTTTACTTTCAAATTGGACGGAGGCAGTAATAGTCTCATTTTGTCATTTTCGTAACTAACTCTCAACATTTTTACAAAATTATCCTTATTTTTTCATAATAATTACATAAAATAAGGATATTTTATTCTTTTAAAAATATTTTTCACTCACTATCAATATAATACTATTATTTATTAATTCCCGTGAAAATCCAAAATGTGTCTATTGTTTTGAAACGAAGAGAATATTATTTAAAAAATAAAAATAGAATGTATGTTTAAATATTTTAAAAATTATACCTTGACAAAATTGTTTGGTTGGATGTCAACACCATGCTTATTTTATTTTAGTGCAGATGATCTTGAAGTAATAGTTATGCACTTTTTTTTTAGTGCTTTTTAAACCAATGCTCTAAAAAATTATACTTCATTAGGTTCAGAACTATAGTTTTAAGTATTTTGAGCAAAAAATTTAAGGAATTTGATATTATATTGCTAGTTTAAAAAAATATGGACAAAAACTTTTTTGTCCTTGGTATTAGTATAAAAAAATATAGTGACATTTGTGTAATAATAATGAAAATATAAATAATTTTACAGTTATATGATTATTTATAAAAATAAGACTATTGTTTTGAATAAATATAAAGTATATATATTGCGTTAAAATGTATAGGTTGTATAATTGTTGATGCCGATTTTCAACAATAAAAAGTAAAATCCGAAAATAGAAATTATCTTCTAATTTGATAAAATAAAATGCCTGAGATTTAAGAATCCCTAGACACCGTACGATACATAAATAAAATAAGAAAATAAATACTACAGACTATAAAAGTAAAATGATGATCCCCAAAAGAAATTTATTGAATTTGATGTCGATTGAAGATAGTTTCTTTAAGTCATGAATAGACCTATTTAAAACCTATGTCAACCGTCGCAACCAGGTCGTGCCTTCATATCCGCTCGCCGGTTGTAACTTATCTCAACCGTCTTAGAACTGCTTTTCGTCCGACCGGCGCACCTGCTGCTACGTCTCCTCTTGCCCGCCTTCCACTTGTTCGATCCGTTTGCCGGTTGTAACTTCTCGTAACCGTCTTAGAACTGCTTTTCGTCCGACCGGCACACCTGCTGATATGTCTCCTCTTGCCCGCCTTCCACTTGTCCAATCCGTTCGCCGGTTGTAATTTCCCTTAACCGTCTTTTCAGACGGATCATAAATCACCATCCGACTAAGAAATCGTCTGGACCATCCACCAACTGAACCTACCGAATAACCCAACGATTGACCAACCGACCAATCCATATACTAACTGGTCGCTAGACCAAACGACTAATCAGTTGCCCACTCAAGCGACCACCATTCAGTCCCTTCAATCGGCTGAACAACCATTCGTCCAGACGATTCATCGGTCGCCCAATTAAGCGACCACCATCCAATCATTTCAAACAGTTGAACAACCATTCGTCCAGACGATTCATCGATCGCGCAATCAAGCGACCACCATCCAGTCCCTTCAATCGGCTGAACAACCATTCGTCCAGACGATTCATCGGTCGCCCAATCAAGCGACCAACTGACCGCCCTTTCAAGCGACTGAACTACTGTTTGACCAAATGATCGGCCAATCAATCAAGCAGGTCGCTTAATTAAGCGACCAATTAACAGATCTTTCTTTCAAATGGGCCCCTAGAAGCCCACTTTCCTCTTGTCTGACCCCCGACCGTCTCGTATTTCTTCGTCCGACCTTATTTTGTCTGACCTCCTTATCGACTGTCTCATCCTTCTTCGTCCGACTTCATTTTGTCCGACCTCCTTATCGGCCGTCTCATCCTTCTTCGCCCAACTTCATTTTGTCCGACCTCCGTATCGGTCGTCTCATCCTTCTTTGCCCGACTTCATTTTGTCTGACCTCTTTTATCGGCCGTCTCATCCTTCTTCGCCCGATTTCATTTTATCCAACCTCCGTATCGGCCGTCTCATCCTCCTTTGTCCGACTTCATCTTGTCCGACTTCCGTATCGGCCGTCTCATCCTCCTTTGCCCGACTTCATCTTATCCGACTTCCGTATCGGCCGTCTCATCCTCCTTTGCCCGACTTCATCTTGTCCGACCTCCTTATCGGCCGTCTCATCTTTTTTGTTCGACTTCATTTATGACCCTACTATCATTATCAAGCCCATTGGATTATACATCAATCCAATTTATAAGTTCATTTTCAAGAACCCTATACATTGATTTTTTTCTTACTTAACATTAATATTTAGGTGAACAAATCCAAAGTGTTTTATACATTTATACGGAAATACAAGATAATACTACATATTTCATGTCATACTTACTGCATCACTTTTCTTTATTGAAAAAGAATTATATATTTTAATCTCATTATATTTTTTAAAAATTTTAATTAGACTATTAGTTATGTCAATATTAATCTAAAATTATTTTTATTATAATATAATTATTTTCACTGATATATTACTCCTTCTGTCTCACTTACCGTGTCTACGTTTCTATTTTCGTATGTCTCATTTATTTTGTTATTTTTTTTAAAAAAGTATTATACATTATAATTTTATTTTAAAATTTTTAATTTATTTTTTATTTTAATTTAATTATAATGATTAGTTATCTTAATGTTGTTTTTTAAAATTATTTTTTATTAAATAATAATTATTTTCATTAATGTATTCTTAATGATTTATTAATTATACTCCGTATTTACAGTAAAAAATGACACTGAGATAGATGAAATATTAATTATTCACTAATTATACCTCTCACTTTAGCTCGGACGAAGGAAGTATAATTCATATATATATAATATCACATTCAAATATTTTTATTTTGTTTTATATTTTAAAAAATTTTGGTGATGTTATTTTATCAAAATATAGTACAATTAAGAAAATATAGCAAAAATATTTGAATTAGTATATTATAATATTAATAGAAAGACATTTAAAAAAAATAAGTACAATAATGATAAATGTGAGTTTAGAGGCAGATGAATGGAGTATATTACTATGTATTAATAATATGCAATAAAACATTATTTTTATTAAAATTTTAAATTAAATATTTAATACAGAATATGTACTGCATCCGTCCATACAAATTACTGTAGACACTTAATTTAGGTAGAGTATTATTAGTAAATAATTAAAAAGAGTATTAATAAAAACAATTATTATATAATAAAAATAATTATAGATTAAAATTAAGATAAATAAATAGTTTAATTAAAATTAAAAAATATATCTATATATTTTAAAATATAAAATATGATTAAAATATATAATTATATTTTCAGAAAAATAAAAGAGCAAATTATGTGGGACGGATGAAAAAAAATGGACACTTTATTTGGACGGAGAGAGTTTATTAAAATATAGAAGATATACAATGAATTTGTTCCTTAACATTTGTTCTGAAACGATTTCCTATCTGCTCACAGAAAAAATGAACCATTCAACAAAAGATACTAGTTATATTTAGTAATTTCACACAATTTTACAACTCACATGATTAAAAAATTATGAACTTTGCTCAAAAGTATTTTTCTACTCGTTATTTTTGGCACGCAGCGCTACAGTATTAATTTATAAAAGTGTGTAAATCCGCAGTAAAATACAAAATTTTTTAATTCCTCGATGTAACCGTCATCTTATTCTGAGCATATTTCGAGAATCGGATCTGTAAAGTAACTTTTTTTTATTTCTCTCATCATCATTCACTTTAACACCTACCCCACCAACCCTTCGAATTCTCGTGACGATGTTGTATTTAAAATCCTATTCAGACAAGTTATTTTCATCCGTCCATCCTCTGCAATTTTAGCGAGCAATCACGTCGATTTTTTAGGTAAATTTTCTTGTTGTTTGATTTTAATATGCCTATGATCTAAATTGTGAGATTTACCATAGCTATGTTCTATGGATAATCAATATTTATTCTGAAATTTAATAACTAAAACAATCAAGATCGATAAATCTCCGAAACCTCTAATCTAGGACATGAGTTATTACTATTTTTCTTACCTTTTTTTAAATGCTTTGATTGTTTTATGATCTTTTAGAATGTACTCATCTGTTTTGATTTTGTCGCAATTTTTTGTTTATATGAATTTATTAATTTTGTTTAATAGAACAAAAAAAAAAAAAAAAAAAGGAGAAGCAAAATGTAAATAAAGAAAATTTGAAAAAAAATAAAAATTGAGAGGAATTGATTTTGATTTAATTTGTCAAAATTATTGCTATTGATGTAAAACTTTATTTCGTAACTCTTTATAATTGTACCATACAAAAATTAAATGTGTTAAACAATTGAATTTGGATGGACGCTATATATTTTGTTAATTATAGATAACTTTATTTATTTTTTTATTTGTATTTCATAAAATTTTATTTTGACTACATATTTTGATGTTAAATATAAAAAATTACATAAATAATATAAAAATAATAAATATCTATAATAGAATAAATTTTTATAAAAATACATAAAAAAATACACCTTGTATATTTTAAATTTATGTCAATAATATATTACTATATTATAAATTAAATATCAAATAAATAAATCACTCTCAATTAAACATTCAATTTAGAGTAAAATCCAAATACAGGGTTATAATTAGTAATATGCATATATAATCATAAATTAGCAAAGCGTGTTTGTTTAATATTTTAGTTTGGTTCAAACTTTTTTATTTTTTTATTTTGTAAATATAAATTATAGAAAATTCTATCTGTTATAACAAAAATTAATCAACAAAATTTATATAGATCAAACAGTATTATACACTTTATTTAGGAAAAAAAAAAAGAAAAATTAAATTAAATATCCAATCATCTTCCCCGAGTGTTAAATTAAAAAATCAATAAAAGTAATGGAATGACAAAAATGTAGCAGAGAGCAGCAGAGGAGGAAGAACGCACTCCTGTCCGGGCGACGGCGACGGCGACGGAAACCACTTGAATAGGCGTCGCTTCTCTGTTCAAACCTATGCATGGAAGGTGGAGGAGGAGGCGGCGACAGGAAGAGGAAGGTTTCTCCTATTCATCTTGACTGGGAGACGTTATTGCCGTCCGGGGTCAAAGACGAGGAGCCTCTACCGCTGGAGGTGGTTGGGGACGGCGAGGACAAGCCGGAGCCGCAGGCGGAGGTGATGACGGACGGTGGGGAGGATGAATCGGCTTTTCAGTATCTTAGACAACTTTCCGATAAAGATTTGTTGGAGAAGATTACTAGGGTTAAGAATAATTTGGAGCAAATGTCGTCTAAATTGCCTGACGGAGGGGCTAAATTTCGAGCTAATCTATTGAAGCACGAGGCGGAGTGGAAGAGGAGAAAGGCTCTGAAGGTTTGAAATTTATTCCCTATTGTTTCTGGTTTGTTTTTTTAGCTCTCATTTAAAGTGAAGTTAGGCTTTTCAGAAATATGTCTCAGTGATTCAGTCTTGTTCGCTAGAGTTCATATACAGGGAGCTTTGGTGAGCATTGTTGACTTCAATGTAGAAATTGCAGGTAGAAGACAATGGTGTTTGGCATATTCATTTGGCTGGGTGATGCATATATCATACTACGAGTGATAATACATCCTAGTGATTTTTACTTGGCTTATTATCATCATTTTCTTTTTACATAAAGGATTATAATTTATTGTATTTCAGAGGGTCACCCAACATTTGGATATGTTATACTGCATACATCGAGGGTATTGTATGTTAGTAGTACTTATTGGGCATGGATCGATGATATTTTTAAATAGGTTGCTTGGTTTAAAGAGGTGTTTTTGGAAGTTGAAAATCTTTTATCTCTGGCAATCTTTTTCTTGAAATTGCAGTATCACACACCTCATGTAACTTTCTGTACTAGCATCTATATTTTTTTGGGAGAGGATTTGTGGCATTTGTAATGTCCGAGTGTGCGAGTCATAGTGAATTGTGGGTCAGTGCTTTCTTAAGTTTCCAACCTCCGACAGCCTCTAGCCTGTTTGACAACCCTGTACATTTTCGACTTAATTTTAATGGAATTTCATGTTCATGACATATGCTAATATCTAAGTTGCCTATTATGCCATGTTTCAATAATTATGTGGAGCTTTGTTCAATTCGAATTGTTGTATGGTGCATGAATTTGGAGTACTCCTTAAATCTTCTCATGATATCCTTATAATCCTTATTTCTGACTACACTGCTTCACAGGATAATAACAAAGTCGAGGAAATAATCTCTGTTGGTGAAAAATCTTCTTGCCTTGGTAAGGTTATGTGGCTTTTATGCTATGGATATATATTTTTGTCTTCATTTTCACTAGTGCGAGGAAAAGGCAAGTCAATATCTGGTACTCTTTTCCATTGATGTTCTGTCCATTCATTTAGTTAAGATCTAAGACATGCATGTCCTTATAAAGGTTGTTAATCAAGGTATATGGGTCCAAAGAACACACTAGGCCGAAACACCAAAGTATCATTTTAACAGGCACTTGTGTTGCAAAACACACTATATTTCAATGGTTTGCATTAGTTCTTTTCCTTTTTCGTTTTTTTAGAAAAAACACTTATTATTATTATTATTATTAAAATGTGTTTGGGTTGTTGAGTTATTGGTCCAACATTTTGCTGTTGGACTCAGATATTATCTTTACACTCTTTCAAAATTAAAAGAGCCATCTTGTGGCAATAATTTTTTACTGTAGTTTGGTGCTAGACCTGGAACAATATTATGCTGTTAAAAAATTTCCTAATATAGACATATATCTTCAGACTAAGCATTCCAACTTGATAAGGAGGGACAAAAAAAAAAAAAAAAAAACTTCTATCTTTTAGCCTAAAGATGCCAATCCTGAAGCTAAATGATGGTGTGCACAGAGATTTGGATTGGCTACTTTTGACTTTTACTATCAGGATTATAATAGAATGTCTGAACATAGAACTGAAGTTATTATACTTCTTGTTAGATAACTAACAAGTGAAATGCAAACCTTATTGGGCTTAATAGTTATTATATGTTTTTTCTTCGACGGCACAGGTTAAATGTTAATGTATTTTAATGGCGCAGTTGATGACAGATCAACTTGTGGAGCTCCGCCGTCCAGGCCTGTGTCACAATCTACTTTTGCTTTAAGGTTTTGCAGCACGATGGATGATAAGGTATGCCTTTTGTCTTCTGCTTGATTAGTTTTATACTCAATAGTTTAAAAGAAGGATGATAGTGAGTACTCAGTTTTTATTTATTTATTTATTTATTTATAAAGGAGCTACCAAAGAAGGCTTTCACCCATGAATTGTCTACCTTAAATCATTCTGATCATCAAATTATGGAAAGGAATGAAGCAGTTCTCTCCCAAGGAACACAGAGATTAAGTTCATCTTCTAGAAAAGTACCTTTTAAATCTCCAACCCATCTTTCAGTGAACATTGATGATCCTCCTCAGCTCAGTGATAAAGATGCTTCTGTTTCTGACAGCCTTCTAAATAAGTAAGTATTAATTTTGCTAATTTTTGGGAGGTTCTTTGATACTGCGTTATTTGTGGCAGGTTTGTTAAATCAAAGGTGTTGCATTTTTATACCTACTTAGACAAAAATACTAGTTCTCATTTTTTATTTATTTGGTTCACATGTATGCATGTAACAATTGTATTAAGCTTGTTCATAGTGTAAATCTGATTTATATCTGTCTTCAGGAGAAGTAGTTTTTTGTCTCAACCTACTCCCAACTCCAGAAGGAATAAGGTATACCCTCTTTGAGTTTGTGTTTCTCCTAATCTTTCTTTATGCATATCTATGTACAACAAGGTATTAAACTCAATATAGGATGATAGAAGAGTGCGAACAAATCCTCATTCCTCATACACCGAAAATAAACTTCCATTACTATCATATATCAATTTCTATTCAGTATGAAAACATTTTACTAGAAATATAATCATCCAACGTCGTTAACCTAATATTTAAATGCTCTTATCAAGCTGAGTGTGTAGAACTTACTATACCATTTAACTTGGACAAGAACAAGAGATGATATCAAATAAAAATCATCCCCTTTATGGGCAGACTCTTGAAGAATAGCATTGGAACATGGAGATAAATAATGCAACATTAGGAGTGCTGTTTCAACTAAGTCGTACCAAGCCACCTCTAAGCTGCCATGCTCTTCGAATAGTAGAAGCATCATATTCTCGCTTAAGGTTTGTAATCTTAGCACAATAATTAATGGATATACTGTGGTTAATAGAAGTGGTCGGACTTGCTCAAAAGACACAGACTATCATAATAGGATCTAGAATTATGATAAAATAAAATGTTTACAAAACGTAGGAAGAATGTTATACTATCGATGGAACATATTTCATTGATGAAGTCATAGATGTGGTAGCAAATGCAAAAGAAAACATGAAACCCAAAGTTGGAAGCTGAAGATAGGTTGCAACAATTAAATATAATGTTTCCAGTAAAAACAAAATATTTTTTCTCACAAAACATCATATCAAAACGCTATTTAAATCGAAATTCAAATCCTTACCCCTATTTCAAAACCAAACAAACCCATAATTACTTGTGAATTCCATGGCTAATAGTTATATTATTATTAATCGAAGAATTTTAAACCTTGAATTACCTTTGTTGTTGAATCTTACAGTCTTACACTTGTAGTTCCTTCTTTCAATACCATGTTCTTTCTATGATTTTATATTCCTTGTTTTGGAGTTTTATCTTGAGGGGTTCAATTGACTGTTACCGGATGAGAATTATGTGAGAAAAAATAGTATATTTCTATTGAGAATTATACGTACTTAAAAGTGTTGATTTTGGTTTGGGGCCAAAACCAAACAAACACACATTGGTGTATAATATTCTTGATTGTCACATCATATTCTCTGCCCAATATTGTTATCAGTTTAGATATAATAAGCTGATATCAGATTTTCAGCAGAAAACTGTTGTTCTAGTAGATGAAGAGCTGGAGGTTGATGCAATTAATCAAGTAGAAAATGTGGGGCGAAGGTATATAGATCTTCTGGTTTGTCTATAGTGTGCAACTATATGTAGCATATTTCAAGAAAAGTCGAGCACATTATTATTTACCTGTTTGGTTGGTATGCTAATGCTGTATATTTATTTCAGCCATAAAGAAGCTCAGATATTCTATCCTTCAAGGTAGTACTTCATTGATATATTGATTTTTCTTAACAAATGTAACAATATTTGTATTCATGCATACTCTGGTTTCTGAAATAGGGATGATCCTGAAGCCATTGAAATTTGTTTCTCAGACTTAGAATGCTTGGCTCCTGAATCTTACTTGTCATCAACTATCATGAACTTCTACATTCGGTAAGTTTATAAACCCTTGTTTTATGCTTCCAGGGAAATAATAATATGACAGTAATTACTGTTGTAATCATATGGGAAGAATGATCTGTCTGGCACATAGTAAGAACTGCATATTGTTCCTTCTTTTATTGCTTTAGGAATCAGCTTGATGGACATACTGTTCATTTAAGTATTTTGAGATACATTTCATTCTTTAAGTACATTATTTAGAGTGCGCTAGTATAATGGAACTTTATCAAAAATTTGGGTAGCAATAGTTTAATTCTATTGTCCATTGTTGTTTGGCACTTTGGCTGGTGGTTATAGGGTGTATACTCACTGTCTGGCAGACAGATTATGTGACATAGCTTATATAGTTTGGATTTTAGATTTGTCCTTCCATTCTAAGATAAAAATAAGACTATCAACAGAAGTCACTTGCTTATAATGATTTTAGATTTGTCCTTCGCCTCCTTGGTTTTTCTGCCTTGCCCCAAAGTGATTTTCTGTGTAACTAGAAATTAAGTTGTGGGAAGTTTCTTGGTACAAATCCATTGAATCTAGCTCATAACACTCCAATAATTGATTTTCAAGGGTGTATTTACGAATGATTCTTCTTTTGTTGTCTTAAGTGAGCTGAATTCCATTTTCCTTCACAATTCATTATCTCATTGCCAAGTCAACAGACTCGCTTAATATTGATGTTACTTACCAAAAAACATGGATTTGTGTAATTCACTAATATTATCTTCCTTCGAAAATCGAAATATACTGTGGGCAATTGACTTTGCATTCTTATGATTGAGACCTGCAAGGTGTGAGAGCGATCTGCTGTAGATTAATGCTGACATCATTTGGTTACTAATCTGCTTTGGATAGGTATCTGCAGAAGTCTACATCCCCCACTGCCAGAAATCGATGCGGTTACCTCTTTTTCAATACCTACTTCTATAAGAAGTTGAAAGGAGATGGTCCAACCAAGGTATAGACTTTATTTGAGAGAAAACATTTTGATGCATTCTGTATCCTTGTACTAGAAGACTTCGTTTTTTACTCTTCGGAGCTAATATAGTCGTAGAGATCAAGTATAAAGATTTTCACAAGCACCTTCTGTAGCGTCATGCTTTACAATGAGATAGCTTGCCAGTCCTTTTCGCGCTAGTATTATAGTGCACTGGAAAGAGCAAATAAAATGTTAAAGAGGAAATTTATACGTTTTTAACTTATGGTTTTTCATTTTGTGTGTCTTTTGACTTGAGGCACTAACCTCTTTAGACACTGTGTTTGGTTCATGTGTACATGAAACCTGCTCATCATGTAAACTTACGAGTACCTTAATATAATGCCTTTGTAGTTGAGTGTCAATCATTTGATTCAAAGATCCTAACAGATAAAGCCACTTCTTTTGGTTGAAAGTACTCGTTATTCTTTGCTTACCCTACTTCGTCTTCTCGCCTTATGCTTAATGTTTCTTATATTTCAATTAATTATTGTGCCCATTATTTGGCTGCATGACTTGATGGACTACGGAAAAAAACGTTTGAACAATTTTCACATGCCATTTACATTAGATACTTCTTCTGTACATGCAGACTAACCCCTCTTTCAGCATATCATTGAGTATTTATGTTTCTCTATTGCAGATTACAAAAGAGAAGTCGTACCAAAAATTCAGAAGGTGGTGGAAAGGTGTCAATATATTTGAGAAAGCATATATTTTTCTACCAATTCATGAACAGTAAGTACTATAATAGATCCAAGGCTATTTCAAGCAAAGGCCTCGAGATTCTCTTCCTTAATTGTTGGTAATCAAGAAATGCATAGACCTCTATTACACTATGAAACCCCAATGATTTTGCCACATATATCTAAAGAACCAACTTAATGTGGCATCTACATATGAAACTAACATCATGGTGTATCATCTAATAATTGGGTGCAGTATTTTTTCATTTCTATCACTTATGATGATGATGATTATGAGGGCTGTTTATATAGTGTATAAGCATATTTTCTACTTAATTAGTGGTGAGATTAGACAATCTAGTTTCTTCTCCATATCGGAATTGGTTACCATGTAGAAATGAATGAGCTGGGTGGACGACGTTTTTCAGTACATTGGCATAATTTGATACGTATGCCCTCAAATTTTAAGCTATTTGGTATCTGCTGCAATTTTTTAAAATCCTTCTTGTTCGATGCATTTTTCATATATGTGCAAATCTATGCAGTAACATGGTGTAGGTACTGAAACTTATGGATCTTCTTTTCTTACTCCATACTGCTTGGGCTACCTTACACTTATTTTTGGCTTTGATTTTTCTGTAGTTTACATTGGAGCTTGGTTATCATTTGTATACCAAAGAAAGAAGATGAATCAGGACCACTTATTATACTTCATTTGGATTCTTTAGGACTTCATGACAGCAGTTCGATCTTCAGAAATGTAAAGAGGTTAGTGGAATTGTATCTTTGTTGTGTTGCATGCTGTTTTATACCACATTTGGAAATTGCTATTGGGTATTTAACTATAAACAAAGATGGGTAGCTCCTTGCAAAATATATTCGAAGTATATGAAATGCAAAGCTTACCATGGGCTATGTCGCATTCATGTCAAGATTAAAGTTTTCTTGTTCTAGGCGTAGCCTTCCAATAGAAATGCATTTCTATGTTGGCACATCTCTTCAAAGCTTATTTTTTTAACCCCCAGTCTAAGAAGGTATAGATATCTTATAAGACAAATTGTCACTCCTCAATCACCGAATGTGATTCTTGATCATTACGTACTGCCTAGTGATTTCTCTTTACGCTCTTCTTTTATTTGTTCTTTTCTAAAGAGCTTTTGTGTAGCATAAAAAACATTTATATAATATATATATGTCTTTTAAGTGAGACATTACATGTTGCCTTGAGAACTCCCACAGAACTGATGTGCATCACCTGCAGATTCCTAATAGAAGAATGGAAGTTCCTCCGAGAAGAAGAAAAGTTACCCGAACCCCCAATCGCAGCCAACATCTGGAACAAGTTATCCCGAAGAATCGAGGAGAAAGTCGTTCAGGTCTGTATCATCATTCCATAGCCTTAAGAGTTACTTTTCCAACTCTTAGATTTTCCATTAACTTATTCCACCTTATAACTAATCCTTTCCTTCTTCCCACACCCGCAGGTTCCCCAACAAAAAAACGAATACGACTGCGGCGTCTTCGTCCTTTACTTCATGGAACGTTTCATCCACGAAGCTCCGGAAAGACTACACCGAAGAGACTTGGAAATGGTAACTCATATCCATTCTTAGACACTCTTTATCTTCCTTTTTATCATAATTTCATCTTCTTACAAGCCTATCTTCCTTTCGGATACCTTTTTGTCGGCATCAGTTTGGCAGAGAATGGTTCAAACCGGAAGATGCCTCCAGTTTGAGAAAGAAGATATTCACTCTACTGAGAGAAGAGTTCAAGAATGCGGGCACTTCCGCGTCGGACGGTACCGAAAATGGGAACCACTAACGCCCTGAGCTCCTGTAAAGTTTGCTGCTCTTTTTCGCTATGACTAAAAAAGAAAGAAGTATAGTTACAGGCCCATGCAGACATCTTGATACAACTTTGTATAGTGATGGGATTTTGACAGAACCTGGAACTAAATTTTGGAAAATGAAGGGTAATTTGGGGGGAGGCTTGTCAGAACCTTAGAATTGGCAAGATTAATGGAATGAGCATTTCCTGCAGTGTCGATTGCAATGCTCCATTGTTTTGGATTTGTACCTACCGTGGATATGAAAAATGCAATTAATGAAAACTTTCAGAATCAGAGGATTTTTTCTCTATGTATTTTTTTTAAATTTTTTTTGGATGAACATATTTGTGTTAGTATAAAAAATTTAATTAGAACACTAAACAAAGATTAAAAAAATAAATTTTATTGAAAAAATTATAAAATAAAAGGTAGGTATTTTTAAAAAATTTAATCAGAAAAAAAAAAAGTAACAAAGTTGGTGTAATTTTGAATGGAAGAGATGATTTGTTACTTCAACAAAATTAATAATGATCAAATTTAGGAACAAAGTGAGTACTCCCTCTTTCCTACTTATAAGCATTGCACTGTGGACACAGTATTTTATAAAAAGTGTAATTAATAGATAATTAAAAATATATTAGTGAAAATAATTATCCGATAATATAAATAATTATAAATTAAAATTAAGATAACTAATTAATTTAATTAAAATTTTAAAAAATTAAAAAGTTTAAAATGAAATTAAAGTGTATAATCATTTTTCAAAAGATGAAAATGACGTGGTATGTAGGACGGACAGAGACGGCAACATGAACATTGTATGTAGAATTGAGGGAGTAATATTGTAGCTTGGATTGTTGATTTTTTTACGGAGTAAATAAAAAATATATATTATATATATTGTATTAGTGTGTTTATATATATCATTTTTTATAATATTTATAGAGAATTATGACAAAAAATATTATAAGACAGAACAAACCAAATATACCTAAACCATGCTTCTCTCTCGAACGGTAGTTATTCATTTCTTAATGTCTATGTTTCCTTTGCAATATTTGGGTCACTGGAGATAGTATAGTTATTAGTGTCAAGCAATGAATATATTGTGGCATGGAGATTATAGAAAGAATAAAGTTGCCTAAGCCTTAAGGGGTTTCATTCTAGTGAGATTGCAATTATGTAGCAAAAAAAAAAAACCTGTTACTTAACCGTGTGATTATTCTTGTTGCTCGGTTTCAGCAATCTGAGTGTTGCATTTCTTCCGCTTCTTTTTATCTGGAGTTTCGTGGACTTGAGTTTTCTTACCATATGTTTTCATCTGGAAATTTTCAAAGGCCTTGGAGACGGCTCCGACCTGGGGAAGAGGGGTTAGATTATTGCATGAAAAAAGCTTGTTCAAAAGATTAAGATCAAAATTGTAAATTAATTACATGGGAGAGAAATTATTAATTTTACTAACCAACTGGGACTTCTTGCAGTAAACTCTCACGATCAAATCTTGGTAACATGTGGGCAGCAAGTGGCTGACCAAATGATCTTTTACATCGAATTTGTCGACGCTGTCATAGTCCTATTACATACACATCATTATATGCATACATTAGGAGATAAAGTTAATATAATTATGAATAAATGTTACACATGAGATATAAATTTGCTTAGTTACCTTAAAAAACTTGATGCTGGTGCACAAATAGCAAAACAAGAAAAGAAAGAAATATGTTAGGACTTGAATCATAAAATGGGTGACTTTAAAAATAATTATTATCAACTACATTACCGTTCAAGTGGATTGTTCCTTCCACGGGACAGATCGATTTTCACATTGCTTACGATAATATCATCTTCATTTAAAGTTGGGTGACTAGATTCCTGCATCACAATGCATAATTGTTCTTATTCTATCAGCCAGATTTACTAAAACGAAAAGTGAATGAATTTGGGGAATTCGGGACCTGTGAGCAGATAATGTCTTGAGAAGTGACATCTTTGAAGTAATCCATCTCGTCCTTAGGAACTGCAAACTCATTGCAATACTACAAAATAATCGGAATCACTAATAAGCAGTAGAATAGCTCGAGAAAATTATCGAAGTCTCTGAGAAGAAAATCAAGGTACTAATATAATTTAAATGTCAGTTGTTGGGAGTATATAAGATTATATGTACCTGGTAAAGATCCCTTCTCCGAATACGACGGAGCAAATCTCTTGATTCCTTCAGATCTTGGTTTGTAGATGTTTCAATTGTCTTCAATATTGTATCATCTAACTGTAAGTTAATAATAATGACAGATACATATAAGGTTTCGAATATACCGATCAATATGCTCAAACAATTCAATGTATGTAATTTCAATTAACCTTCCAGAATTCAGCTGGATCATCAATGAATGATGAAATCTTAAGAGCATCATTTGCCATGGCCAAGGCATCAAGGCCCATGAGTTCTACAGCCTGAAAAATATTAGCAATGGGTCGGTTTCTCCAAGTCCAAAGGCAAAAACAAAGATTGAGAATCACGCACCTTTACTTTTGCATGTGTATAGACTGTGCGATGCAAATCTGCCCGGGTCGAAAATAGCTTGTAGATAGTGAGATCTGAAATACCTTAATATAAGATTTACTGATGCATGAACAGTTAGTAGATAATAAACTATAACCAGTGTAGTCATATACTGACACTCCTTAGCACGATAACAAATCTCATTGTTCATCACTCGCATAGTATCCAACACCCTGAAAGAAAAAAATGTTTTCAAATGTGGAAATAGCTGTTAGAATATATCGAGCTCAGATGTGTATGTGTGTTGAGTTTTGGCAAATTAATCCCACCTCTGAAACAGAAAATTGCAGCCAAGCCCACACGCCCTGGAGTCACGGACAATGTAATCAAATCTGCAATATAAAAGATATTATTTATGATATTGTAGTAAAAACTCCATTTTAGTAATAATGACCAAAGAAGGTATTCGATTAAGCACATACTTGTCAACATCAATTCCGTTTCGTCCATTAGCAACAATGTCGTACAAGAAAGGCTTTTCTTTGAAGCTCTACCAAATGAGAAAAGAGTAAATTGTATTAAGGTTCGTGTAGATAAGGTGTGAAAGTTCATTTAATCAGAAACTGCGTCACATAAGCCTTCCATAGCATTACTTACATTTGGTGTACTGTTCTCAGCGGCAGTTATCATCTCCTGACAATAAGAGATGCAAGAGATGAGAGGTTGGAACTAGCAAGAGAACGTCTAAGATCTACCCTCTAAAAAATTCATAAGCATCAATTATGTAATAACGAATAGAACCAACAACTATGAGTACAGAAAGCAACAATGTAATAATGGCCATGTAGACCAACCTTCACCCTTTTGAGACTGTTGGGGTCAAAATCAATGTTATGTTCATCAACAATGTAGTCTATCATCTTGATAGACATTTCTTCATGAGACCTGTTTTATATGATTCAGCATTTACTTTGATAAGTGTGGTTTAGAAGGCGAGATAAAGCTAATCGTGCTACTGCCTGCTTCCAATGAAATATTGGAGGAGGAAATAGAAATAAAAAAAAATGCAGAATTCTGGTCCACAAAGCCAAGCAGAGCATTGTTATCACAAACTTAGGATTCAAGATCATAGAAGCCAAGTAATTGTGTTTGTTTGGAGGATTTGTAAAGATTTTAACTATTCATCCAATTTTTTTCCATCAAAAAAATCAAATCAAACACCTAATTTTCATTTTTTATATTATACTAAAAATTAATTTTACATTCAAAACATCACATCAATATCTATTTATATCACATCATACAATTATTTCAATTCAAATTTTTTACTATTCAAATCCTAACTCAAAATCCAAACCCCCAAACAAACAAACGTTTTTACAAATTAAACATATGATTAAATATGTTTAAACTCACCATTTCATGCCATTGAGAACTCTTGGAATAAATTCGCGCTCAAATGTGTGACTAAATGGTCCATGGCCCAAATCATGCAGCAGACCTACAAATAATCAGCAAAGGCAAACAAATGGGTGTCCTCATGAATGAAAATATATTTAATGTTTAACTACGGTTGTTTACCAGCAAGTTTTACAGTTTGTATGTCAAAGCTATCTATACCAAGCTCCAAGCCCTACAAAGGTAGCATGAATGAGGCCATGATTCTTATTTATGTAACCCATAATTGCAGAAGACAAGACATTACTTGATAGGTTTTCAATTTGTTTACAGCTTCACTAGCCAGCCAATAGACTCCAAGTGAATGCTCAAACCGAGAATGCATAGCCCCAGGATACACCATGTATGTGAAACCTATGCATGTACATTTAAGGCAAGTCATAAGCAATCTCCAGCTAAATATGTGAACCACTTCATGGATAAGTAAGGAGCAGCTATAAAGGCTTCAAACAGAATGAAGCGAATAACATTAACCTGATAATAAATCTTAATATTAATGTCTTCAGAAAATGAGAACTAAGCTAGTTGTTATAAGAATACACAATTTGCTGTGTAAAAATTTTTACAGCCACACTTCAGAATCTATCTTGCAAAAGCACAACAGTGCTCCTTAAAGTTTGATGCAACTAATCTGAATCAATGCCGATCAAGATTTCTCTGTACAGCGACTACATAGAATATCCAGATTTAGGTTGAATGATAAACAGAGATCACAAATGGCTAAGCATGACTGGGAGAAAATATTAACATTTTTTGGAAAGATGAATTCATTCCATATACCAGAACATCGTTACATGGTACCCTATATTCTTTTCTACGTACTGCAGTTTTTATGGTTTTTCAGTGAACACCGCGTGACAACTAGTTGCGATATGAAACTGTGAACATATACAGCATAAATGGCTCAAACTCACCTAGCTGCTTCAAATCACGAAGCCTGCAATATTGAGAAATGTTTCATAGAAACATTTTAGATATAATCAAAGAGTTAGCTAAAGTATATAACATCTTGCAATAAACAAATAAACAATTATGGAATAGTTCAGCTTGCCTCTGAAACTGTTCTGTGTCGACAAACTTCAAAGAAAGCTGCAATGATCGAAAAAAGCAAATAGTGAGAACCTAAGTGCAATCTCATGACTATATTTATAAGATAATAAGGATGACCTAATCACTTCTAGTCTTTTTAGAATTGAGAACCGAAGCGCAGAATTGATGATTACAGCAACATGAATAAAATTTGCCAAGAATGATGAGAAGAAAAAATATGTAAGAGATATTGCTGGTTGATGATAACGACAGAAAGAGAAACCAAGGGAATTCTACTTCCCAAAGTTTCCATGTGCTGGTTTGGAGCACACACGACACATGTATTGGAACTGGACATTTCTCCATATACCAGAATAGTTTAGAGGTCAAACAAACAACTCAGTTCAAACTCGTACCAAACTTCAACTCCTTACGCTAATCATTAATTAAAAAATCACACAAAGCGCAACGCGACATTCTCAGAGGCCAAAATTTCTTATCATCAATTGGATTCGGACTAACTCCACCGGCACTCTAAACAAAACCTCCAGGTTCCATATTCAACTATCTAAACGTGCGACGCATCGCGTCTGCGTGACTCTACTCTATAGTGACCATTCGAGTCCGCACAAACACGACAGCATAAAGCAGTTCCGCTCTTTAAAAAACTGAACAAGTATCACCATGCAAAACGAATTAACTATGCATATATACATACAAAGCAACTAAACTAAGCAAGAGCAAAGAAACAAAATGAAAAGATAATAGCACCTACAGGATCGACATAGATGTGGCCGTGAACATTATCATGTATGTGCTTCGTGAACCTTCTACCGTCAGTCGACCTCACCACGGAACTGGTACTGCTCGGAACCCCTCCTTCGCAGCTCGGTTCCATGCTTCTCGTCTCCGAAAAGCTCATAACGAAAGAGAAGAGCCTGTGAGGAGCGGCACAGGTTATGGCAGTTGAGAGGACGGAAAAGAATCTATGTAAGGAATATTGGAATTTGTAGTGGTGGTGGTGATGGACGTTTAAGTGCCGCAGAAAAGCTGCATTCTCTCTCTACTCGCGGAGGTGGCGCGTGCACTACCATTACTAATATAAACTTTTATCATCATTGCTCGACTGATTTTCTGTTAATATGTTTTAATTAATTTAACAAACAATCAATCAATATTTAAATTTAACAGCTAATAATTAATTACCTAACGGGGGTTAATTAATGAGTCAGTTAGGAATCTCCACGAACAGAAGCAGCGGACTGGAACCCCTAGCTAGAGATAGATACGGAGAGGGTAATTTAGTCATTTGATAAACACATTAATAATAAAACAAAAAAATAATCATTAAAAAAAAAAAAGATACTCCAAAATTATAAATTCAAACAATATTCAATAATTATAAAGATATGCATAATAATGTAACCAAAAACACACAGGAACACAGACTTTGATTGCCAAAATCAACATCACATTGAATTAAATCCAGCCTTAAAATAATGTAACCTAATGCTAGTCTGGACCTTGTAGAAGATGACAATGAGAAGCAGTTTCAAGCTGAAGCATCCATGGCAACCCGAAATTTGGGAGGGACTTTGAGCAGGGGTGCCCGGAATTCGCCGGGACTGCCGAGCTGCCCGCAGGCCGCCATCTTATCGTCGCCCCGGCTCAGTCGTAAGAACGCCACGCACCCTGCTTCAGCAAGGATGTTCCGGAACTCGATCATTTTTTTGTCACTGGTTGGCTTGAACTGTGATCCAGAGTGAGGATTGAAAGAAATGAGGTTGATCTTGCAGGGAATGCCGCGGACAAGATCCGCCAGCCTTTTCGCATCTTCAATGCTGCACATTGATTGATTCGAAAGAAGATTATCAGAAAAAAAATGTTTTGCGCGAGTCAATAGCCGAGCATCTGACCTGTCGTTGATTCCGGCAAGCATAACATACTCAAACAAGACCTTGTAATTGTGTTTCAAACGAAGTTCCTCTCGAAGGGTACCAAGAAGCAAGCCTATGTTGTACTTGCGGTTGATTGGCATGATCCAGTTTCGAACCTGCATAGATTTCGAGACAAGTCTGTTAGATTTCGAGTGTGGTTTAAATGGGTAACAAAAAGAAGGTTGCTGAGAGAACCTCATCTGTGGAAGCATTTAAGCTCACGGCTAATGCGCAGTTAGACTCCTTAAGAAAACGTTTTAATTGAGGTACAAGGCCGCTGGTTGAAATGGTAACTTTCCGAGGACTGAACTGAAGGCCCTGCTCGTCGACCAATATGTCAGCAGCTCTTATAACATTCTCAATGTTTTGAAGTGGTTCACCCATTCCCTATAAAATGTTCCAGTTTTCTCGGTACCATTTAAGAAGCAATAGATAAAGATTTCAGAGCACTGTAAGTGGACAAATTGTAACCCAAACAAATATGCGAAAACAGTGTGTTTAAGACAAAGTTCGACCAAAACAAACCAGAGTTTATTCTCTATGTATAAAGGGATCGTATGTAATACACTATCAATTCGATGAGGTAATCAGTAGCTTGTGAGTATGAGTGCAAGCTCTACTGCTACATATTGAACATCAAAATTCCTTAGAGAGTTACCATGAATACGACGTTAGTTATGGCACCAACTTCATGTGACAGCAAGCGCCTTGCAAAAACAGCCTGCTCCACTATCTCAGCGGCGGATAAATTTCTTTTTAATCCCATTCTGCACAATAAATCATCATATCCTAGTTACATCAAAACAAATATTAAACAAGATATGCTAGGCACACCCATCGGGACCCATGTATAGTGCTTTCTACTTTCTATGATGGTAGGAAGTGATTGGAGTGCACATGTACAATCTTTAGTTTAAACTCAATTAAATGGTGACTCATTTCACTATGTGGTACATTAATTTCAATGAAACAGATATTTCCTAACCTTGTTTTTCTTTAAGCAATGGAACTTCAAGAAGATTATTAAGAAAAAAGAAAAAGAAAAACAAGAAGAAATATCAGTAGAAATGATCTTGCCTTCCAGTGAAGCAAAACTGACAATTCATTGCACAGCCCACTTGGCTAGAAACACATACAGTGGTTCGGCCTCTACGACAAGGAATCACTACTGTTTCTATCACCAGACCATCCTCCAAAGTAAATAATATCTGCAACCTCCTGAGACTTCCAAATAAGTCAGATAGTTCTCAAAGGAGTCAAGTATGCAACAGTATTGTATATCCACCTAATGATAAAAGCTCCATGTACAAATAACGGGCAATAGCATACAAAAAGAGATCATTTTACCTTCCTGGTTCCATCAGATGCCGTATACATATCCTTCAAATGCAATGCCTTGAGCTCAGCATGCTCATCCAACATTCTCTTGAATATCTTGTTCAAACCTAGAAATAGAAAATGATCACTGTGGTGCCAACAAATTGAGTAAGAAATGGAGAATATTATGATGAATACTAAAAGAAACACTACGATTTGATAATAAGCAAATTTCATCAAAATATCCCGCTAAGTCGAACTAGGCATAAAAAATGGATAATTCATCATCTCCACACTGCTCTATCCAATCCAAACCGGGTGTTCATGGGCGTTGCACCACTAAAGGCATGGATACTAAATATGCATATCAAATTGAGAAGTAGCGAACAATTAATTGAACCAAAATTAAGGTGTAACAAGCAATAACCTTCTAATTCTTCATTGCAGTGAGCCCAAATGTTATCTCCATACATACGTTTCCAGAGCATCATAGCTTGGGCAGGCCTGTAACCATGAGATAGAACCCATTTCTGTTGCAGCAGCAAACAACTTGAGAAGCAGAAATTATAACAACCACCAAAACTTCAGTAAATATTTTTGTTTCCAAGTTACAGCAGGATAATGCTAATAAAAATTGCAACAGCCACTTGATGAAATCAATAATATATACGCTGGAGATGTTTGATTAAACGGCATAATCAATAGGCTTATGAAATAAATATGAACAGGAAGCAAAGTTGCACTCGATTTCTCAGCCCAAAGCCAAGGTAAATACAAAGAAGAGAAAGGTAAGTACCTCAAGCTCTAGGTATCTCATCCCCTTTATTAGAACCTTGGAGCTCTTCGTCAAAACAATGTGATCCTCCATCTCCTCGCATCCTAATCACAAGCAAAAATATGCAATTCGCTTCCTCAATAATATAAACACTACAAACCAGTGTGTGCACCGTAAAAGACAACGCCAAAAATACCTGAAGAAGCACAAGTATTAGAGAAATGAAGCGCTGCGGAGGCAGAGAATGACAGGCGGCGGGGAGAGGAAGAGGTAAGCGGAGAGAACGAGGGAGTCAGAGCCGGCGAATGAGCAACGAAAGGGAAAGCGCGCGCGAGAGAGACGAGATGAACTGCCGTGGAGGAGGAAATGGCCGGAAAGAGGCCGCAGAGCGGCGCCGCCAGCTGCCCCCTCATCCACGGTCCGCGGCTGAGCTTCATCTTGCTTCGCTTTCGCTTCTCCCGGCCAGGCCAACCCTTAAATTACAGTTCTAAATATAATAGTAATTAATTAATAAAGTTAATATTTAAAAAATATTTAAATAAATAAAAAAATTACATATAACCATCAATAGCGTTTGTAGTCCAACGGTTAGGATAATTGCCTTCCAAGCAATAGACCCGGGTTCGACTCCCGGCAAACGCATCCGTATAAATTTTTTTGCGGCACGTGCTAACGACGCGCTCGAATTTTCTTTATTTTCTTCTGATATACTGAAACATTAATACAGACTGACATGTATATATGTTTTTATATAGGACCAGAGAAAAATGATCACACCAACTGTAACAACACAACAAGCAGAAGAAGAACACAATTCCCAAATCAGCAGCAATTCCAAACCCTAATTAGAGAGCTCCCCCCAAAGGTCATGGATTCTTCATCTTGATCCTGAGCTTCCTGGCGATGGCTGCAGCTCGAGGATGCACACGTTTGCTAGGATCGCTCTGCTCCACCTCCACCCAATTGATCACCTTTAGTATTACCGACTGCGGCACTTTCCGGCCGTCCGATTCCTCCGATCTCCCTCTCGCCTTCCTCATTCCCTTCTCCACCGCTTTCTCTAGAAAATCCATGAACCAATTCCCCGCCTCCATTTCAATCTCCCTCCCAAGCTGAATGCTGTTCGACAAGCTGCTGCTAGACGATGAAGAACCACCTGCTGCTGCTGCCGTTCCCGGCGCTCTATTTTCGTCGTTGTCCAGGCTCGTCGATCGGAAATGCTTTCTCGTAACCGATGATTTCTGATCTGCCGCGACGGATTTGTAGAGCGCACAAGTCCTCTTCGACGCGTGATTCGTCGGCGAATCGGACGACGTCGTGCTGTTGTCGTCGGTAGCCGCCGTGGCTGCCTGCAGCGACACCATTTCCGCCACCGCTTGGACAATTTGCGTATGGAATTCGAGGAATTGGTCGAAACAGGTCGCCGGAGATTCGACCTTTGCTGATTTCGTCAGGTTAGAAAATGCCCTAACAAAGCAAATTCCTGCCATTTAAGCTTCTAAACATGGAAAACTAACATTACAGGAAATTTGGTGCAGGATTGAAGAAGACTAGACGTACTTGAGACATCGAAAGACGTTCTCAGTCGCCGAGGCATCCCTCAGCGCCTGAAGGGCGGCTTTCTGCATCGTCTCCCGCTGCCGGAGAGCTTCCTATGAACACGCCGGAATTAGATAGGCTGCAATGTGAAGCAAGATGAGTTTTGAAGGACTTACTTTTCCGAGCAAGTTGAGTTTTCCGGGCAAATTCAGCGGCGCAGTTGTCGTCGATGATTCATCGAATATAGTTTGTTGCGATTGTGCGTTGGCTTTGGTTTTGATCCTTGATTGATGATCCTCTGGTTTTCCAGATGAAGGTGAATCCCCTGTGTTCAAGTTCCTCAATCTTGGAGGAGTTGAACACTTCTTGTCCTGTAAATGAAACAGATTCGAGAGCAAGAAACATAGGCGGCAAAATGGTCAAGAAATTGGAGAAGGGGAAAGGTGTACCTACAGCTATTTTGAGGGGACTTCTTGGAACGCTCTTGCTTCTAGAAGAACTGTTGAAAACACAGCTTTTCCTTGTCAATGGAGTCTCTGCTTTACCACCATTACAAGGCTTGGCAGCACTTCCTCCATTCCTCACAAAGGGAGACACCGAAAACCGCACCGCACTCGACGGCCGGGCTCTAACCGGAGTGCTACACTTGTCGAAATCTATCGGAACAGGCTTCACACTAGTCGGCGATCCAAGAATTTCGCCTCCGGCGATCCCTGTTGCCCACGAGGCCCTTGTCGGGACCAAAATTTGGGAATTTGTTCTGTGCTGATCTTTCTCACCCTTCCTCCGGAGCCCCATTAATGGCTCCGGTGTGCCGACCATCGGGTGCCTTCCCGGGAGGGGACGGGCGCCCTTAAGGGTTGGGACCGGCGACCCCGGCTCGAGACGATCGACGTATATGAACTGCCCCAATTGCAGCTTGTTGCTCATCACAAGATCGTCTTGATCGAAGGGCAAGCTGACGTAGATCGAGTGGGATGAATCTGATAATTTGATGTAGAATCCGTGTTTAGGCAAGAGATTCTTTTCGTCAAGATCGGCGGGGACAATGTCGGTTACCTGTAATAGGGAGCTTCTGTGCTCGCCGGTGGGCTTTACACCTGTGTTCATTCCGTTCAGAAGCTTTAAAAGGATTCCAGGAGCTAATGCCGCCATTGTTGCTCCTCGCCAAGGTATCCTTAAAGCTGAGAAGAACTTCTCCCACTGATTATCGAAACCCTAGATTGATTGAATGCGAATTGCTGCTCTTCTTCTTCTTCTATGTGCAGGAACGTGAAATTGAGAAACTATAGAACTAGGTATCGGAAGGATTCTTGAGGAATTTCTTGGAGAGGAAATTTGAATTGAGCAATTAGGGTTCTTGCGTGGAGTAGATAGAGGTATGGGGTGAAGTGGGAACGAAGCGCAACGGTCGGATTTGCGATGGAAGTATTTTAAAATTGAGAAATTCCGAACGTTGAAGATAACGGTCGGGTGCGGCGCTGCCTGACCTTTCCGCTCCAACGCTGACGTCATCCAGGGCATTTGCTTTTTTCAAATGGACGCTTATTTTAGGTATTATTTATTTATTTATTTTTACTTTCCTTATAAGTGTATATATATATATATTCACAAAATAACTACCGTTTAAAAGAAAAAACAATTTATTGGAATTTACTTTGAATTTTAAATTAAATAATAATTTAAATATAATATTATATGAAAAAAATATACTTTTATATAAATTTTTAAAAATCAATAAATTCAAAATACAATTTTTCTTAAATATAAATTTTTATTAATAATGCATAACTTTTTGTTTATTTGACATTTAATTTCATTTTTTATTATCATTACTATGCGATACTTAACTTAAATGTAGCATCCAAACTAGAACATAAAGTTAAAAATATATATACATATTATCTCAAATAAATAAACATTTAAAAACATGAGACCTTTGGAGTTTGTTTGTTAGTGTTTTGATTTGAAATTATTTTTTTTTTATGTGAGTTAAAGAGAACTTTGTTCGCAAGTGAAAATATAATATTTTATATTTAATGTTGATTTTTGTAAAATAATAAATATATATATTGGAAATCATATCGGAAAGAAAAATTAAAAGAACAAGTTTTTTAGCGATTTTTTTTCAATTTTTTTATTATTTAAACTTCACTATATATTATATCTTACAAAAATATTATATAAAAAAATAAATTTTGAATGCCTTTACTATTGGATTTTTTAGATGAATATTGATTTTCTTTTATTATACATGAAAATATATATATATATATGAAAATATTTAGTATTTTCTGTAAATACATAAAATATTATATATATATATATATACATTACTCCTTCTATTCCATTTAAATACTTAAAAAAAATAAAAAATAAAAAAATCCCAATGAAAAAGAAAAAGCATGGTTGGTAAACTCATGATTACGAACTTATAAATTAAAACTTTAAATATCAAAATTTGTCCATTACACATTACTTGCTTAATACGATTTTTCGAGGCATTAAAAAAAAAAAGAAGAAAGGTCCCTAGCCTGTTATAAATAATAAATGATCAACTTCTACTAAATTCTCTATATTTATTTTCAAATTCTTATTTAGTCTCTATTTCATTACTTTGTCTTATTTTACTCTCCATTTTTATAAATTTGTTTATTTTCACTCCATATTTATCTAAAAATTATACAATGTTCTTATTTAATTTTTCATATCTATTGTATTTTTCATTTTGTCTTTATGTATAAATCTTTAATTTTTACCTTATAAATTTACTTTTTTATTATACATATAATAAATAAATAACTGTCTAAAATAAAAATTGACATAAAAAAAAAATTAATGATGTAAATTTGTAACAATTTAAAAAAAAAGAATTTGTTAATAATACATAAAGTAAAACTTAATTGTACAATAATTTATTTGAAAATATATATATATTCTCGTGTAGATACACAAAAAAGATAATGAAGTATAAAAATTTAATGTCTTAAAGACTAATATATTTAAAAAATAATTATATACTGATGTATGATATACTATTGATAATATTAATAAGTCAATGGATTTAATATACGTATATTCATACTATAACAAATAGTTAAAAATATTTATTTGTAATTCTTAAATAACAATGCAATATATTTATAATGATACAGTGTCTCAAATGAATAAAATGTCAGTAAAGTAATAAAAGATATTTCAAATACTCCATTTGTTCAGCTATAAAGTAAACATATTTCATTAAATACCTACGTTTTTCCACAAATACTCTTACAAACATCACATCAATAGGGCAAAAATATCATTACATTACTTTTACCTATCCACTATAATTAAAATATTATTATTTCTTAAACTCCGTGCCAAAAGTAAATGCATACTTTTTGCTTGGACGAAGGGAATATTATTTAAAGTAATGATTACAACATAAAAAAATATTGAAAATAAATTTTAAAAATATAAATCTTCATTTGACAAATCTTTTATTTTTGTAACTAAAATAATAGGCATGTGAAAATAGATGAACTGATTTTTTTTTAAAATTGTATGAAAGTGAAGACCAAAAAAATAAATAAAATATTATTTAAAGAGTAAAATATGATGTTTATATAATAAATTTACAAATAGAGATATAGAATAATAGGGAATTTTAAGGAAATAATTTGCAGGTAAGGTAAGGACTCACAAGTAAAAGTAATTAAGAATTAGGAATTTTAAGAGAATAAAAAAAATGAAAATAAAAAAACACCAATTGGGCCGAATATTTTAAAAAGCGGAGGTTGGTGACATAGAAAGTCCATAAAATAAGCCTTGTTGTTTCATTGGCTTTTTTTTTTCAAACATATTTTGGTGAATATTAGAAGGAAAAATGTTAACACTGGTATAATTTTTGTTGTCCCTTTCATTCATTATTGTATCAGATTTAATTTTAACTATCAATATTTATTTTATTAAATAAATTTATCAACAATGTAAAATTACATTCTAACAATAACAATTATTATAGGACGATTGATAGTAAAATAATGAACATAAGTTATAAATAAATATAAACAACACCATGTTAAATAAAAGGAAAATAATTTTCTTTTAGTCCCGTAATTGATCCTTATCATTTGAATAACTTATATAGAAATCATCCTATAAGTAATTATTTTTGGCACAATTAGTCATTCGATTCAGAGATGCGCATGTGACACCAGTCTGGTACATCTGAGCATAGGTATCCGTCAAATAAATACAAAAAAAATGTCAATTTATAGGAATAAAATGATAATCGGTCAGTTACGAAAAATTTAAAAAAATATATACATCACATGTCCGCCGGATGGTGCCTAATTAGCAGACATATGTGTTCCGACGTCCAATGAAGGTGCCACGTGTGCATCTCCTGTGTCAGATGGTCAATTCTCCCCAAAATACTCTCTCAGTCCAAATTCAAAATACTCTTTTACCATTTTCACATGTCTCATTTTAAAGTATTTATTTTCAATTTTTTTTTAAAAAAATAATCATACACTAATACAAAAATATCTTTAATTTTTACTTAAATTACAAGCATGTCATGCAATTACTTTATACAAGTCAAAATCTTACCCACTTCCACTAACCAATAAAATATTATTATTTTTTAATATGCTATAAAACCTAATATCTCTTTCAAAAGGAACGTAAGAAATATATACTTATTTGAATTGGATACCAATTTGAATAAATATAATATTTTATTGATTTATTATTATATAAATACACTCATAAGTACTTCTTTCGTCATATATATACTTTGTCAATTATTTATACTCCGTATTTCGGTTGGTTTAACATAATTTATTATATTTTTTAAAAAAAATATAATTATAGACCTTAATAGTGAACAAATTAGTTGGGATGAAAAATATATGATTAAGCTAACTAAGTGAGATAAAAATTTTAACGGATTTGTTTGATTGTAATTTAAAATCCATTTGAAATTAGATGTTGATTAAAAATTTTGTTTAAATACGACTTTAATGTGATGTTTTATAATAAAAAATAATATATTTTCGAATCATATTAATTTTAATTTGAAGTATTTTTAAAAAATTATAAGTGTGAAATAGTTATGATATTTTTATAAATAAATATAATAATCAAGATTATAAATTAAAGAATAAATAAATATAATTTATTATAAATAAAAAGAGAATATATATATATTTATGGATAAAATAAATAATAATAAAAATAGATTTGGTGTACGGGAGAAAGTATATGGAAATAAATAATTTACTTTTATATAGTTTTCTACCGGCGTGTATAAAATAAATAATTATTAAATTTCGGTTGGGCACGATTTTGGGTGACGCTGTCGCCCTTCCCATATCCCAATTCCCAAGCCCTCACCGAGCGATTACGCCACCACATCGGATGCTACTGAGCCGGCGGCGTGTAGGTTTGCAACCGATAGGGCGGAGCAATTCCGCCGCCTCTTCGCGTTAATAGGTGAGATTTATTATTTTCTTTGTGTATTGTTGTCTAGGACTAGAAGTACTGATTCGGGTTGAGCTTTTGCCCTAGTTTTTTTATTCCTTAATATCTCCTTAGCGAGGGGAGTGATTTTTTCTGATATATCTATATCTATCTATCTATCTATATATATATATATTCGTTTAAGGTGAGGATTCTGGAATATGTGTTGACTGGAATTGAGATTGCAGTTATATCGAAGATTGGTGTCGCTGTTTCTTGTTCAGGTGACCGAAGTAATATGTGTATTATTTGTGTCGGTTGGGGATCTTCAAATTCAGTAGTTTTAATCCAACTTGAATTTTGATAAAAGATAAGTATAGTTCAGTTTCCCCCTTGTATGGCGTGTGTATATATTTTCTTAAGGCTTCAATCCGTACTTGTTCGAATATCCCATCAACTCTTGGTCAAAGGATGTTAATACTTCATAGGTATATTATCTCTTACTGGTTTGGGCGGTTTTAACAATAGGAGCGTGCTAACGTTTCCTTTTTTGTCTACTTGGAATTTTGGTTTTCTGGCCAGCAACCATTCAAGGCTTGTATGTTCCTTTTGAGATTGCAGATACCTGTAACCTGTGTGCAATCATATGGAACTTGGCTATGTGTTAGGGCTAGCTGAATCTATTTAGATTTTGGTTCCTGGTCCTAGTCAGTGTTGCATAATATTAACATTGTAATTTTAAATACTCCTCAAAATTCAAATATCAAGAAACTACCTTTGTTTTTTCCTGGTTTGATCATAGGTGATTTTTGCGTTATGTAACATTGTCACAGATTGCACATTGGAACTTCCTTCGTTGCTTCATTTTCTGATTTAAAAAGAAAGTACTTGTGATTAGCGTGGCCTACGTTGCTTATAATAAGTATTCATGTCAAGATGTCTTGCTTGTCTGCAAGTCTTGTTAAGACAAATATACTAGGATAAACTCATTGGCAAAGTTGTCTTCAAGTTGAATCAGCATGTTAGCTCCACTATTCGCTGGTCTCTAATCTTAGATTGAGTATCCTGGGCTTGTCAGGAGCATGGCCATCCACACATCGAAAATACCCTCACCCATTTTGACCCAACTCTATACAAGCTATTTATACGTGATGTGACACTCTTAGCTATCAACTACTATTTTGGAACAATAAATTGAAAACATTCAATGCCTTGAAATTCATATTGTGATAAATATAATAGGGGACAGACAGGAATATTCTTTATCTGGATCTTGTGGTGAATCTTAATGAGGATTGTGTAACTATACATTGTAGCATTTTGGTGGATCTGAATCATAGAATAACAACTGAATCAGATAAAAGAGAAACAATATAGGATAGTTGTCCTTACAATCATGACATTCTTTACCAGTTCTGATTTAAGAAACAAGGATATGGTTGTCATTCTATATGTAAATACTTGTACATTTTAGAGTTTTGCTTGAACTTAATATGTAGGGGCAAAAGCTCATTTGTAATAAGAAATTTCTCCTACAGACTTTATACATATTATATTGTTCATCATAAAAGGGAACACATGATAATTTTTGCAGCCTAATTGAAATGGTGTATCAGTAGGCTATATACTTAAAATATATAGTTATCATGCTCGTGTTTTTTATCCTGGAGCTAAATCAATATAACTTCTACATTGATGATGTAGGCTGTTGCTGAAAATTCAGGTAATTAGGAGCTTTGGGGATTTCTCTTCTACTGGTCTCAAGTTAGTATTACACTATCCTTTCTCCATTCACATAATGATCCCTGTCTTGCTGTCATCATGAAAATTATGAATGCCTTTGATTCCCCCCCCCCCCCCCTCCTAATGATTAGGCAACATAACTGTGGAAACTGGAAACATCTCCAATTTCTCATTTAGGTTTTACAATTTTCCACTAAGATTCTCGCCCTTCAATTTTACTGAACTTAAAAGAAAACATGATACAGTAGTACTTTTGTATGAATCTGATGCCATCATGGCAGATGGTGTTCCACCCCCGTTAAATACCTGAATAAGCAAAGTGTTTAATCCAAGCAAAATCAGAAAACAATTTATGGACACAATAAAATTGGATTCAACACCTTACACCTGGCATATGTCCAAAATAAACAAGTGGTGTCATTTTATGGACTAAGGATCGTAAGCACTATGTCTTTGGCATGCACGTGGTAGTAAGATGATGAGATTTGTAATTGGTTGTGCAAAATTGCCTATTAAGAACCTCAGCGCTTTTGAGGTACAAGATTTCATGTCTGGAAGTTTGCATGACTAACTCAATTATCACTAATAAACCATTATAGTTGTTTGAATATATTGTATTTGTGTGTCTGGAAGATGCTAATAAGCTATTGCTTGATGATAATCAATCTCTCCCACCAAAAAGTATTGAATAATTATTTTATTTTTTCTTTTTTTGCATTAATCTAAATGTTATGATAATTATTGCTGATTGATATACTGTATATGTAAATTAGATTATTGATATATACATATATATATATATATATCTTTCTAATGTTTTGGCAATTTGTATTTAAGATGTTTATGGTGCTGATTCAATCAGCTCAAGAGCACCTTTTTCTTTTTGAGAGACTGATATCAGATTTGCTGTGTAAGCTGTATATATACATGTTTGGACTTTTGGCCTTCTGAAATGTGTGTTGAATGAATAAACTTTGTGTACATTCAAATATTGCATTAGTGCTGTTATTCCTATCTGATTTTATCTTTTACTTGCTTTGCTTTCTATTAATGACACTACTAAGTAAATGTATGCATCTGCTTCTCTGTGGACTGCTATCATGCTAGTTTGCAAAGTGGATGTTGGTATATGAAGGTAGTGAGGGGCTCTGAATATATTTGTTAACTTGAGAGACCTCATCTGGCTTTCTCTGGAAATTGTGTTAGAAAGGACCCAGCAATGGCTAGTACATTATCCGGTGAGTCCTCGAAGGTTTCTCAGGAAAAGCCAGATGAAGGTGGTGGGCGGTGGTATTTCTCGAGGAAGGAAATCGAAGAAAATTCCCCCTCTAGACATGATGGCATTGATTTGAAGAAAGAAACTTATTTGCGCAAATCATATTGCACATTTTTGCAAGATTTGGGCATGAGGCTTAAAGTGTAAGAAATTTTCTCGAGGGTTCATGTGATTTTTATTTAGGATTTAATGAAGGATGGATTGAAAATATTCAGTAAATGAACACTTGCTATGGTGCTGCTTCTGTAGTATCTTTGGGCATTAAAAGTCTTTTCTGATAAATGTTCATGTTGCTTTGGCACATAACTTGAAATAACATCATTGATGCTGTACATTGGCTTTGTTGTAAGGTGTTATATTGATTTGTGTCAAGATGAGATAACTACAAATCATGATAAAACCTTGAAATAGATATTTGCATAGAGGTATGTGGCCATAAGAAAAGGCTGCAGGTAATTGTCACTATCTAGTACTGCTGATAAGCTTCAGTGTTCGCTCTGAATTAGACATATATAGAGTTGTGGTTATTAATATCAAAGAAGTGGTTGAGTATCAACTGTGTGTATGTTATTCATCCTGTTGCAGCTATTTTGTTACGTGGCTTATCATTACTTTGGTATATAAACCTGGTGAATTTATTGTTGATACAACACTTGTTTGTTTATGATGTAGGCCTCAAGTGACAATTGCTACAGCAATTATATTTTGTCATCGTTTCTTTCTCAGACAGTCTCATGCAAAAAATGATAGGAGGGTGAGTGGACCTGTGTGTGTGCGTTTACATCTTTTGACAAGTGATTGTTGTCGATAAATTTGATTGGTCGAATGTTGAAATAATGTGCTTGTTGATTGGATATTCAACTATGATTATCTTGTTACCAGGAAAATTTCCAGCAAAGAAGCATTTCTGTTACCTTTTTGTTTAATAGTGTTGCAGCGATCATATTGTGGATATATTCCTTTGTACCTGATACAGGCTTTCTACAAAAAAAAACTATCTTGTTATTGTTCTGTCCATCATGTCTGCTAATCCAATAGTGGAAAGCTTCTTGGTGTTATGTCACAACAATGGCAGCATATAATTTATTTTAAATGGTGGTTGCATTTGGAACTTTGGATCTGTATCTTTCTATGTCTTATCACTTCTTAAGGTGAATCTTCATGAAACAAGTCATTTATGTTTGGGTCTTTCTCATTAGATTAGGATTTGTTTACAGCTAGAATCTAGAACGCATTTATGGTTGACTCTTAATTTATTTTTTGTTATATTGAATCCTTAGGTATAAGTTTCTTTCAGCTTCACCTTCAGATAGGGATTTCCACTAGAGGTCTTTAATAGGATCTTGATTCACTTTGTTTCACTACTGTTGCTGAAGCATTTTTATTTATCAACTTTTTAATTCTTTGAACTCACATCTTATAATGGAGCTACTGCTGCTTGATGATTTTTTGACATAAGGTGTCATTACTCAATAATCACATCTTATAATGTGCATAGATATTTGTATTCTGTCTGCTTATGAAGTTGTGACGTAAAAGCCATGTGTGATTTTATTCTTCATAGTTTTACTCTCTTGAAAGGTACTTGTTATTGTCTTTCTAAATTCTCACTTAATGACATAAATGCCAGTGCAATTAGGTGTTGCAAAAAAGTTCCTGCAACGCAGAAAAGGCAAAAAAAAAAGAAGTGTGTGTTTGGTTTGTGTTTTTGGATGAATATATTATTTTATGTTAAGTTTGGGGAATTGTGTCAATAATATTAATATTTTATGTTGGTAATCTATATTATATTTTTATGTGTAATTATGTATATGTATTGTATTTTTAATAATATTAATAAAAAATTGTGTCAGTAGAAAGTTGTTGGAAGAACAAACCAAATAAAAAAATTAAAAGACTATGTTATTTGTATGAACACCAAAGAAACTGCATAATGTTGATGAACCATCCAATTTTAACTATATTTATTTTGCAAGCTTCAACTATCTTCTGAGCAGTTTTATGAACATATTTGAGATTTTGACAGTTGTATTATTTGCATGCTTGCTTCAGACAATTGCCACAGTCTGTATGTTTCTTGCGGGTAAGGTTGAAGAAACTCCTCGTCCTCTTAAAGATGTCATTCTCGTTTCATATGAGATTATTCATAAAAAGGATGCTGCTGCTGCGCAAAGGATCAAGCAAAAGGTGTCAAACTGTACTTTATAATAATTTGATTCCTGATTAGCTTTGTCTGAAAATGTTTCGCCCGCATATTCTAGTCTATTAATGTCTTATCCTTTCGTGCAGGACGTATATGAAGAACAAAAAGAGCTTATTTTAGTGGGGGAAAGAATTGTGCTTGGAACGCTTGGTTTTGATCTCAATCTTCAACATCCTTATAAGCCCCTTGTCGAGGCAATTAAGAAATTTCAGGTTGCTCAAAATGCCCTTGCTCAAGTTGCATGGAATTTTGTCAATGATGGGTATGTTACTTAGCACATCATTTGTATATTGCGATTGTGGTTGCCATTCTTCGTATTCTTGTTCTCACCGGAAAAATTTGCATCCAGGCTACGAACATCTCTGTGCTTGCAGTTCAAGCCGCACCACATTGCGGCAGGTGCAATTTTCCTTGCTGCCAAATTTCTCAAAGTAAAGCTTCCATCTGATGGCGAGAAGGTTTGGTGGCAGGAGTTTGATGTGACCCCACGCCAATTAGAGGGTTGATGCCTCCCTTCTTTTGAATAGTATAAACATCATCCTATCACACTAGTTCAAATTATGGTAGTGTTTGATAAATCGAGTGCATTAATTGGAAAGCTTTCTTATTGATTTCTAGGAAAACTTGGTGTTGGTTTCAGAAAATTAATCAGTTAGTCTTGACCGTTTCTGGTAAAATTCAAGTTTCAAATGTGATCAAGAATAGTGCACAGCTGAATGGAGTGATTAAGTGATAAAAATAGTGATCCATATTTATATTGTGAGTTATTTTAACTGGATCTTGTTTTCTTTGCAGAGGTTAGCAATCAGATGCTAGAGTTGTATGAACAAAGTAAAGCACCTCCGTCTCAAGCTAGTGAACAAGAAGGAAGTGCCGGGGGCAACCAACGACCTCTTTCAAAAGGTCCTTCCAGTCAAGATCATGCCCCTGGTTCTTCCCATGGCGGAGCTACTTCCAAAGCATCATCCTTGAAGCCGGCTTCGACCAAGCCAGTTCCTGATCAACATACTGGTGGGCCTCCTAGATCTACCCAAACTCGAAACTATGACCATGGAAGTGCTGCTGAAACCAATAGCTATTCCAATACCAATCACCAGGGAGAGAATGGCACCATTACTGCACAGAACCCCGACCAGGAGATGGTACCTCGCTCTGCGAACACAAGGGAGAACCCAAACAAATCAAATCCTGGTATCGAAGGGCGTGCCACTGATGATCGAGAGGAAACCTCCGTGCGGTTTGAACCAAGGGATGCAGAACTGAAGGATCATGTCAGGCACGTGTCCTACAAGGAAGGCACAATTGGCCAGTCACCACAAAATCCTCCCAAAAAGATCGACAAAGAGAAACTTAAAGCAGCCTTTGAAAGGAGGAAGGCTCGTGGAGATATAACCCGGAAAATGGACTCACTGGATGAGCTGGAAAGGCAGCTGGAAGATGTCGAAGTGCCCGGCGAAACTGACAAGACCAAGCGTGGCAGAAAACAGAGCTGGCCGAAAGCTGTGAAAACTGAAAACGAGGATGGAGATGGGCGCTACCAAGGGCCAAGGGGACAATCCTCCCATGAACCAGATGATTTTGACATGGTCGAAGAAGGGGAAGTTAAGCCATCTGACGACATGGACAAAGGATACCCGTCTCCAAGGTCCAATCCCCGGAAGAGGAAGTCCAGCAGTCCTTTGGACAGAAACGGGGTAGGGAGGTTTAGCGGACAATCGGGAAGGGACCACAAAGAGAAATTTCAGGAGAACGATGTCTAACCTAAATGGACTGATTTCACGAGCGCTTGGCCTGTGGAATACGATCGTGGCTAATGCATACTCGAACAAGCAAAGCTGCAATTCTAGATGAAAATGGTAGCGTGGTTCAGGTTGGATTGTTTCGATCAATGCTGACTATGAATGTCCATCGAAGGGAAATTTGAAAATTTGTCCAGAAACTCGGTAATCTTATTGTGAGTTGATGCTGGTTGAGTGCAGATAAAGCTGAAAGGGAGGGAAGCCGCAATGTCTATGTGTAGCCAAGTAAGTCACTGCCTATCTGTACTTTTGTTCTAGAGAAGTTTTATAATTTTCGATCTAGGATGAGGTTATGACATTATATCCAACTTTGCATGCTAACATTCAATAGCGTATATCTTAGCCACCCCAACCCAACCCACCCCGCCATCTGTGCTCATGTTTTTCTGTCGAACATACATACGTATTGTTTTTGTGTCAAATGGTTTTCTTACAAATTGGATCAAGAATCTTCCTATGGTTTATATTTATCACATCCCTTTTGACAGTTTTGTTAGCAGTCTTAGGTTACAACCTGTGTTGTGCATAATGCCTGAAATCGACATTCTCCTCTGGAGTTTATTGAACATATTATGGTACATTTTGTCTTCCCCCTGTTGGAAAAAAGGAAAAAGAAAAAGCTGTTTGGCGATGCCATTATTGAATAAATACCATCACTTTTTTTGTGTCGTGAGCTTTTCTTGTACCTCAGGACTGTCAAGCATTTGGGTGTATTTATTTGTATTTTTGGATGGTTTATTTATTTCTTTTTTTTTTCTTTGTTTTTTTTTCTAAGTTGAAAGTAGTGGTTATATATATATATATATTTCTTCTAAGTGTTGAAAATGATGTTTCTGGTTGGATTTGATTTATTTATTTTTATTGTAACTGTAGATTGTACAGTAGAAAAAGAATGTGGCTTCTTCATTGGATTAGGTTATAAGAGCAAGAAATGTCCTTTTCACAAATGGGAATATGTTTAGTAAAAAAATAATGGCATAGAAGACAAATGATTGGGTTGTCCTAATAGAATAGGTGAGATGAATGTAGCAGAGAATTAGAGAATCTAATACACACAACCATACACAAGAAAAATAACAAGATCAAGATCAAGAATAATCACATTCTTACAAGGAATCAAGTCCATTGTTCCCTCCATCCATCAACAACAACAAGTGCTAGCCAGTTGTGTTTTTGTGTTAAATATTATTATTATTATCATTAGTATTATTTGAGGAGGAAGAAGAAGTCACAAGAAAAGTTTTAGCAAGGAAAAGACATTGATCATCCATGCTTTGTTGTTGTCCTGTGACTTCTCTCTCCCATTATTCCAATTATGTTACATATATATATATATATATAATATGTGTGATTGTAGTGAGCAAAGTAATGCATTACACTACTACAGTACAACTGAGTTTCACATGCCATAATCAGACATGTAGCTTCACAAGAATCCATTGTTCATTAAGAATGATAGCCTCTGCAAACTTCACTAACTCTGAGATTATCATCGTAAAAACCATTTTTGGAAACTTTTTTTTTTGTTAAAAAAATTCTGGTAGGGTGTGTTTGTTTGGGGGATTGGATTTTGAGTTGGGATTTGAATAGTAAAAAATTTGAATTTGAATAGTTATATGATGTGATATAAATAGGTGTTGATGTGATGTTTTGAATGTAAAATTGATTTTTAGTATAATATAAAAAATAAAAAATAGGTGTTTGATTTGATGTTTTTGGGGGGAAAAAATTGGATGAATAGTGGAAATCCACCAAAATCCTTCAAACAAACACACCCGTAGTATATGTGATACCCTATAATTGAATAGAGATGACCGGGAGAGGATGTGATAAATATGAAATTGAATAAAGATTAAATAGTTTGAATAGGTTACTCGTATTGTGAATCCTCACACGTTAGGTCTATGTGGCTTGCGGGCAGTAGTGTATTATCAAATATTACAAAATATATTCCCAAAGAAACTATATATATATATATATATGTAATTAGTATGTATATATACTTGGATCAAATTCTACTCTTTCTCAGAAATAATACATGCAAACAAATCTTAAACTCACTCAGAAGTGGGTATTACATATTACACGATGTTACGGAATTATTTGATCCCACTATTGGTGGGAGACGAAAATTAGAGAATAAAATATATGTATGTGTATATATAGTGGCCCCAAAAAACAGCTGGAAAAATGGCATTATCCATAGTGTGTATAAAATTAAATAAATGTGTGACGTATAAGGACCACAGAGTTATATAACCCTTTGAAATACATGTGACCCAGTAGCAAATCCCCCTAACCCACCCACCCCCCCACCCCGAACTGCTGTCTGCAAATTTTATTTATTATATTTCACACCGAAGGCATGAAGAAGATCATCACTCGTTATTTATCACCAAGCAAGCAATTAAATACCAAGAAAATTAAATCTCAAAATTTTACACAAACAAAATGAGGTGGAAAAACGAAATGGGTGATGATTATATATATATTAAATGATAAATCATTAATTAATTATATATATATATTATGAAATTAAAATTAAAATAAGTTGAAACCAGTGGTTTCCCCTTTCTGTAACACAACTGGTTCAACATAAAAGCAAGTTAATCTGCGACCGTCCACGTCATATCATTCTCAAAGATCCAATGGCATACCTCAATCTTACCTGGGCCCGAGCCCAATGCGATAAAAGCCCCGTGCCCGGCGCTCCACGACGTCGTATCGAGGTGACAGATGGCAACGCCGTGGTTGATTCGGGCCCGGGACTTCGGGTCCAGAATATCGGCCTCGTAGACCCGGACCTGTGGGACTGAATGGCAGTAGTAAAGCAAATAGGGGTAGAGACTTTGGTGACACGACACTGACTTGGTCACTTTTCCGCCGTTGATTCCACTGACTTTTCCGATCAAGATCTGACCGTTGGATCCTTTTGTGGTGGCGGTGCTCCGCACAGCCACATTCCGCCCCAGCACCGACGTCGAGAAATCGATCATGTCCTCCATCGACGCCACGCACCGCTTCGTCTCGCCGGCGCTCGGCGGCCGCTCGCACTCGCGGAGAGCGTCGGTTAGCATTGTTGTCATACGAGAATCGTCGTCGCCGGCGTGGAAGATCTGCTTCATTTCCGCGAGCTTCGAGGTCGAGAATGGCAGCTTGGAGACGATGACTCGAGGTAGGAATGAGCGTTTAGGCATTTTGTCGCGGATGTCTGGCATCGCCATGATTGTTCCTGTTTTGAGCTCCGATTCTCTGAAGAATTTCCCTGGCTCCACCCATTTGTTGGCGGTTTTACTTCCGGCGACGGCGGAGGAGGAAGAGGAAGAAGAAGAGGTGGTGTTGGCGTACCTGGAGAAGGAGGCGCCGTCCTTTGAATACTCCTTGAAGGTGTTGTTGACGCCGTAGGTCTGGAAGCCGACGGCGGAGCCGGTGGAGTCCTTGGCGTAGCTGGTGAACTTGTCGGTGCCTTCGTTGAATGACTGGCCGTAGTTCTGGAAATTGATCTTCGCGGAGTTTGATTTCTTTCCGTAGGATTCGAATCCGTCGTCTCCGACGTTGGTTTGATCTCTGTAACTTGTGAATGTCTCCGTCGCCGCGTTGCCGTCGGCGGCGTAGTTTTTGAAGTTGTTCTGAGGCACATTGCCGTTGTTGCCGTAGCTGGTGAAGGTATCGTTAGCGCCGTTCGCCGTCTCGCCGTAGTTGTTGAAGGTGGATCCAATCACGTTGCTGTTGTTGCCGTAGCTGGTGAAATCGTTGGTGGCGCCATTGCCGTTTTTTCCGTAGCTCGAGAATCTCTGGTCGCCGGCGTTGGCGTTGGCTGTGTATTCAGTGAACGACTGAGTTCTGCCGTTGCCGGAGTCGGAATAGGAGGCGAATCGGAGATTAGGAACATTGACATCCTTGTTGTAGCTGGAGAATTTCCCCTCGCCGCCGGTGGCCAGAGTTCCGTAGGTGTTGAAGCTCTGGTCGATTACATTGGACTCCGTCGCGTAGGCGCTGAACTTGTCGTCGTGGCCGGCGGAGTCGCGGCTGTACCGCCGGAAAGTGTCGACGATGACGTTGTCTCCCTCCGAGTAGCCTTTGAAACTGTCGACGCCGCCGAGGCGATCGCCGCCGTAGTTGGTGAAGTTTTCGTTAGAATAGGTCGCGAAATTGACATTTCCGTCGTGCTTCTCGAGACTCTGCGCCACATCGGGGAAACACAGGAGATTCGCCTTCCGGCAGAACTCCGGCAGGTGCGTCGAGAGCGAGCTCTGGTCGGCATATTTGGAGAACGCGGCGAACTCCACGGCGGTCAACGGCGACGCCTTATTCATCAGAAACTCCGGCTTCGGCAAATCGTTGGAGATTTGCTTCCTCCAGTAGCGCAACACATAGCCTTTCGGCGTGAACAGATTCGAATCGCCGGCGACTGCAATTCCGGCCTGCATTCTCACCGGCGCGCAAACTCAAACACCATTATTACCTCAAAATACACATCCAGAACAGCAATAATCGGAAATAGTTGAGATTGAAGACTTACATTTAGCAACAGAAGCGAGCAGACGGCGGCGAGTAGGAACGGAGGAGCAGCGGCGGCGGCGCTGAGCATTGTGCAGTGAGGGTTGAGAGTAATGCGCGTTGGTGAGTTGGGCGTTGGTAGAGATTTATATATATATATATATTATTATATATTAATATTATAGAAGTTGATGGTGTAACCTGTAAAGTAATTAATGTTAGGTCGAGTTGTGTGTACTAGGGATAGTATTGGTAACGATGTCTACGCGCTGTAGACTGTAGTCGTTTTGTGATACACTGTTTATTTTACTTTTAAAAAACAATAAAAATTAATACTCCTGTATCTATATTATTTATTTAAATTTTAAATATTTTTCACTTTTGTGTCTAATATACACCAAATAATTTGTGTTTTTGCTGATATAATATTATAAAATATATATATATAATATAGTATATACTTCATTCCTCTCATATTTATATATTTTTTTTCGAAATTTTATAAATATTAGTATTATATTTGGATAAAGTAGAAATTAAAATAAAAATACTAAAATTAATCTAATATGATATAAAGGTAATGACATTTGTGTAATATATTGTAAATTGAAAGAGTATTAGTAATGTTAGGTAGATAATATAATTACTAAAAAAATTAATACTTTTGTTATGAGACAGACCAAAATAAATAAATTGTTTAGGGATTGAGGGAGTATCATTTATTAATAAACAAATATACTTGAAGCTAAAAAAAAATATTTTCAACTAAAACATTGAATAAACACTCCTTTATAATTTACTTCCTCCCAAAATAATATGGATACAAAAATTTAGGAATAATAATGTTATATTGATAGTTGGTATAAAATTATTTCTAAAATACTAAAATATTATTACTTTATATTATTATTGTGAAAAAGAAGAATAATTATATAAAAAGATGGGAATATAGTTACCAAAAATGAAAATAAAATTATTATTTTATGACAGATAAAAATAAAATTATTGTCTTGTAACGGAGTATAAAATAATGTATATATTTTTTTGTTTGTGTTTTTTTTATTATTATGAATTTTCTCTGTTCAACTAAAATAATTATTTTTTTTTTCATATATCGTACTAAAAAATCTCTTTTATATTATAGTAATATTAATTATACATTAATATTGCAATACTCATTTTTACATTACAAATGTATCATTACTTCTATACTTAATTTATATATAAAATACAAAGAGCAAAAATATTAAAAGCATTTTATACATTTTTATAAAACTAATAAAATATTATTATTTTTTAATATATTATAAAATTTTACAAAACCTCTTGAACTAGTATAAAGAGAATATTTTTCATAATATTAAATATGAAAATCGAATCAGTAATAAATTGTTTATATTAAATAATTAACTTTTTTTTATATGAAAATAATAATTTATCTTCGTCCTATTCTAGAAGTTTATTTAATTTTTTGACGTATTGATATTTTAATATTAATTATTATATTAAAATGTAGTATAATTTTTAAAAAAATTGAAAAAATACTTTTACTAGTGTCTTATAATATTAATAGAAGAAATTTATATAAAAAATTATACAAATATAAAAATATATATAATGTAATTCAATATTTTTAAGGACGGACGAATATAGTATATTATATAATATACTCCATCCGTTCAAATACAATAGTTTTGTTTACCATTTTTGTCTGTCCCAAAACAATAGTCATATTTCCATAAATAATCATATCACCATAAAACTATCACTATTTTTTCATTATTATTACACAATTGTCACTACTTTTTACACTAATATACTCATAAGGACGAAAAAGTCATTTATCCATACTTTTTACCAACCACCAATATAATATCAATATTCCTTAAATCTCGTGTTCAACACAATAAGACTACGGTAAAAGTATATTTTTAATAATATTAATTAAAAATTATATAGATAAAAAGATAGTAATGAGGTAAACAAATTGAAATCAATGAAAAAGTAAAAGTAAAATAATTTTAACATTTCAAATAACAAAATGAAATGGACGAGATATATATGATTTATAATATTGAAATTATTATATTTACTCTAATTATTAAGTATGAATTTTAATATATTATGTGTATTTTTGTCTATTTTTAAATTTAAAATAATGTTTTTTAATTTATCTAAAAAATTACAAATATTTTTAGATGACGAATAAAAATTAATTATATTTTTAAACACTAAAGGAAGTACGTATTAGGAAAAGTAAGTCAGGATATAAATCAATATTTTTTTCTTGGTATATAATGTAAAGTTACATTAAAGTAATAATTTTAAAAATAACATATATGTACTTTATTACATGGTATTTTCAACATTTAATGACTTATTTATAAGGTAAGTGATTTCTTTCGTGATTTTTTCTGGAGAAAAAGAATATACTATATATATATATATTATATATATAGATATAAACTTCTATTTTTACTGACTTCCAGTACTTATTGGAAACTGAAAAAAAAAAAAAAAAAGTAATAGTAAAAGTAAAAGTAAAAGTAATATCTGTAAATATCATCCCATAAAGAAAAAGAAAAAGAAAATCAAAAATAATAGTAATAAAAAATAATAATAATAAAGATAAAAGCGTAAATTGAACTCTATTTAGGGTGTGTATTTTTATGGGATTTTTTTTTCGAAAAGTTATTATTCTTCAGATTTCTTATCACCAAAAATATTAAATCAAATATTTATTTTTATATTAAATTAAAAATTAATTTTACATTTAAAACATCGCATCAACATATATTTATATCACATTATACAACTATTTCAAATTAAAATTTTTATTGTTTAAATTTCAAATCTCCAAACAAACATGCCCTATTTAAGGGAAGGGTAAGTGTTGATATGAGAAAATTAGTAACAGCACATGTTGCCTATATTATGGAAAATAAAAATTTATATTGTTGTATATATTAAGAATATAAAACAACAACAATGCAATAAAAACACCTTAGAGTTTTTAATAGTAAAAAATTTAAATTTTAAAAGTTGATTATTGGGTTTGGAAAAAATATGGTTTGAATTTAATACTCCTTCCGTCCCTTAAAAGGTTACCATTTTTCATTTTCGTCCGTCCCAAAACAAGATTACTATTTTCTAATTTAGTAATTGTACTACCTATCTAACATAATAAATACCCTTTAAACTTACACTATATTACACACATGTCATTACTTTTATATTACACAATACTTAATATGGGTATTTTTGTCTTTTTCAATATAATCCATTATAATACTAATATTAAAAAATTTACGAACAAAAAGTAAACGACAACTTTGCACTGAGACGGAAGGAGTAGTTCTATTTTTTATTTTTGTCCGTTCCAAAATATGAGTACCATTTTCTAATTTAGTAATTGTACTACTTAACTAACATAATAAATACCCTTCAAATTTACAATATATCACACAAATATCACCACATTTATATTACAAAATATTAATAAGGGTATTTTTGTCTTTTTTTACTACAACTCAATATAATACAAATATTAAAAAATATACGTGTAAAAAACAAATGTTACTCTTTATATGAAACGTAGGGAGTATGATAAGATGTTTTATAAGAAAAAAAATTATAGTATTTTTTTTCGAAAAACACAAAGTCCAATTTGTAAAAACTTGAGTTTGGAGGTAAAAGAAACAAATCTTATTAATATATATTGCTGTGGTATTTAAATATAAAATTAATTTTAAATACTCCCTCCATCCCACATAATTTGTTCCCATTTTCTATTTTCGTCCGTCCCATATAATTTGTCCATTTATTTTTTAGAAATATAATTATATACTTTCATCTCATTTTAAATTTTAAATTATATATTTTTTTAATCTTAATTAAACTATTTAGTTATCTTAATCTTAATCCACAATTATTTTTATTATACGATAATTATTTTTACTAATACACTTCTTAATTACTGTAAATTCCCGTATTTACAGTAATAAGCCCATAATACATGGGACGGAGGGAGTACAATATAAATAGGAAAAAATAAAATTTTGAGAAGGCTATTTATTTTTTAATATTACCATTGCAATATTATTAAAAATAAAATTAAATAAAAAATATTGAAATTAAAACACATGCCAAACGAACCCTAGGTCCTAGCTATATCGTAAGAAAATTTTTATTTTATTTTTGATCGGAATATCGTAAGAATATTTTTATTTTGCTTTACTGGTTAGTACGTGCCACGTGGCATACATTTGAAGTAATTTCCATGCATGCAAACAAAATTGAAAATTATGTGTAATAAATAAGAAAACTTGACCAACAAAACACATAGGGAATATATATTGTTGACCACTTTTGTAATTTTATTTCATTGATTTTTATACTGAAATATTTGGTCCCATATTCTAAATTTATTGAATTTCAATCCCTTCATCAATCTGTTTGCTTACAATAGAAAATTATATAATTATTTGAATATAGTAATTGTTTGATGTAATACAAATATGTATTGATGTGATATTTTACATGTAAAAATAAATTTTAATTTAATATTATAAATAAAAAAAATAAATATTTAATTTGATATTTTTTTAAAATAAATTTAAAATAATAAAATTAAGGGTATAATTTTATAATTAATAAGCACACTCATTGGCTAGGTTCTCTATAACGTTTTTATTATTATTATTATTATTTCTACCTTATACAATATTTTTTTATAAAGATATTATATTAACCTAATATTTAACCACAAATACGAACACAAACCAAATATGGGTTCGTTTAGTATAAGTTGAATTTGAATTTGAATTTAATAATATATTATAAAAAATAATATAATTATATTAAAAATATATGATGACTAAAAATTAAATATTTGTATTTTAAATTTAAACTAAATAGTACCAGCCAAAACTCTATAGACTAATAGTATCTAAAATTGGAGTTTTAATTGAAAATTTCAAAACATTTTATTAAAAAACAAAATATTTATATTGAAAACTATAATAAAAAATTATAAAAAATAAAAATTACAAAAAAATATAATTTTATTCGTATTTATTTACCAGTTTAGGAGGGAGCGGGAGATGAATCTGCACCATCAATTCAGCGGGACC